CATAATTGAGCAGGATGCTCATGCAGTCTAAGGGTGTGTAATGGAGGAGATATCGATGAGGGATGGTGCAAGGGGACGTGCCGGGGTACAGACAGGGGCGAGAGTGAGACGTTCGAGTACGCAAGTAGTGTGTAAAGGGGGCAGGGCTCAGGAAGAATGCGTTGCGGGCGTCCGTCCAGTCCTGGCCATTGAAGGCAAGGGAACGGGCTATAAACCTGCGGCCTTTGGGTGCGGTTGCGCCCCTGGGTCTCGCCTCTTGCGCCAGTCAGGTGTACGTTCGGCGGTGTCCCCGCCGTCCGTCAGAACTCCCCCGCCCCTAGAGCGGGCGGACGCCCGCGACGCACGTTTCCGTTGGGATCTACGAGAGCGTTGGATACATGCAACGAGGTTAGCACTAGACTACCGGACTCTATGTAGTGGGATGTGTGTGGTCGCTTTCCTGTAATAAACGGACGAGGTAGTCAGCGTACTGTACAGCGAGCGAGTAAGAGAGGGAGGAAAAAGGCGCGTCCGAGTGCGCCAGCGAGTTCTATGCGTTGCGACCCCTCCGGTCTTGATCTTGATGTTGTCTCGTCTCTTTGGGTGTCACATTGCCGAAGGTGTTCTGGAGACGTCGTGTCGCACTAACAAACTTGAGTAGCGGTTGTAATGCTGAGGGTGAGTTGAGGAGGGTGGGTAAGGCCCGGCCTCGTCGTCCGAGGCGAGATAAGTGTTCTGAGCGCGCTGAGGCATGGGCGGGGCACTGTAGAAGGAAGTGCATCACTGTTTCCGGAGCTAAGCCGCATGCCGGGCATAGCTTCGAGTCGACTCGCGCGATACGATGCAGGTGGTCGTTGAGGGGGGCATGACCGGTGCGAAGCTGGAAGAGTACTGCTGCTTGCCTCCGCGTAATTCGCCTTCTTTGGAGGGGGTTTTGTTGAGGTTTCCCAGAAATACCGATGGGTGAACGTCCTCGGATGGGCTTGCCTCGTCGTGGGCTTTGGATTGCTCTCGCTATTAGATCAGAGCACATCGACTGGAAAGTGGGTTGGCTACCAGATCGTAGCCGCGGCAGGCCTTGGGTTCTTAGTACGTCTCCCTCGTCATTTTAAATCTACCCCACAATTACCACTTACCATCTATGCGTCCCCAGTACACAGCAATGGTCTTCCCCGCCCTCGCTCCGCTTCCCGTCTCGCGCACCGCCTCTGCGCTAGCCTTCTCCTCCTTCTCGCGCACCTTCGCCCAGACCTGGGGCGTCACCATCGGTTCGACCATCCTCCAGAACCGCCTGGACAAGACGCTCCCCGCGCAGTTCGGCGCGCAGTTCCCGTCTGGGGTACAGATCGCGTACGCCGCAATCCCCGTCATCGACAACCTCGAGGACCCGCTGCGCTCCGAGGTGCGCGACGCGTTCGCGAAGAGCCTACGCGTCGTGTGGTTGGCGATGATCGTGATGAGCGGCGCGGGGCTGTTGTCGGTCGGGCTGATGAGGGAGGTGCCGATGCAGAAGACGACGGACGGGACGTACGGGCTGGACGCGATTTCCCATCCGCCGTTGCCGGATGCAGAGAAACACGGTGGGGCGGGGGTCTCGGAGAGCGCGGCCACGCAACGGACGGAGCCTGAAGTTTCTGAGCAATAAAACGTCTGCTGTACAGATAGAAGTCCACATTGAAGGGTATGGGTTATTGGGAACACTACTTGATGTACACTGTGCATCATCGGCACCACTCTCTGTCTAGGTCTGCCAGCCCTCCATCTCGACATCGAAAATCCCCAGAGGACCTCGATCCCAAAAACGCCTTCCTCTCTTCCAAGTCCCTGCACGTGGCTACCTCCCGGCAGAACTTGACCCATAACCGACCATTCGCCGAAACTCCTGAACTCATCCGCACAGCTCGGTCCTCGCTATGTGCCAGCTTCAGCAGCTCGTCCAGCTCGTCCATCTTGCTCGCAGACGCGCGCATGCAATCCTACCACAATGCAACCCATATCCCTGTCCCCCTTGAAGATCTGGACGACCGCCTGCTCGCATAGCCCATCAACTTCGACCGCGCGTCGACGACCCGCTCCAGGCCCGGCGACCCCAAGCGCTCCGAGCAGCATCCGCTACGCCTCGCGCCCGCGCTGCACGTGTGGAGGTACGCCATTGGGAGGACGGACCTGGTGTTGGTGAGGTGCGCGATATCGAGCGCCGCGGTGATCGCGTCGCGCGGCTCGTCCAAATCGCCGGTGTAGCACTCGATGGGGTGCGCGATGCCCTGCGCGACGAGCTGATCGACTTGGTACTTGTGCCCGAGGCAGACGATTGCGAAGGCCATCGAAATACGAACGCACTTGTAAGACCTACAGCAAAGAGTGTATTGATACGGAAAACGCGTTTTGCGCGAGCCAGCGTCTGTCGGGCGCTCTTGCACCCAAACGCTGTGCCGGGCAGACGGGGACTGAAAGGCAGCCGGAAACCGGATGGTCACCTCGTCACAGTGCCCTTCCCGAACGGCTTTGAGTTGCGTGAGATAGCAAACTCTTCAACAAAGATGTGCATGTCAAGCACTGATGAGACATATGTATGACGGTGCATCTGTACAAAAAATAGGTGGGCAAGGTCGCGCGCGGTGCGTTCAAGTCCGTGATCGTGTTTGGTGCTGTTTTCCAGGTCCCAGCGTCTAGATTAACCCGGTTCTGTACTTCGAGCTGCGAGGATATTCAGTGTTACTGTACGCTTATCTCGTATTTTGTTATATTGAGGTCCTAGTCCTTACTTCAAACTCAATTGCTGGTTTCTCGGTAAGCATGAGCAGAAGCACAATGTAAGATCTAGGTGTTGTACTCGATTGCACTGAGGTTTGATGGCGGCAAATGAACTGATATGCTCGGCTATTCTCGGCCAGCGCTTGGCATTCATCTCGAAGTCAGTCAACCTCTCCTGTCGATGACATCGGCGGAGATATATGCATTAATAGTGATAAAGGCATCTAATAACACACAGAGATCATTCAAAAGGCATGCTAGGGGAGACAACACCCGATAAAGGTACACGGTGAGGAGGATGCCCCGGGCACTGAATCGCTTAGATTAGCTGCTATGCATCCGGATCAATCCAGTCCGATCTACTCGACAACGGAGTCAAACTGCAGTCGTGCTTTCAGTGTCAACTCCCAGGTCCTACGACAAGGTATTCTAGCCTACTTCCTAGACAAATATGCTCGCTAAGGTGGAAACCACAAACAACAGTAGAAACACACAGCAAGACCTGAGAGTACAATAAATGTACAATTATACCTCCATACATATGGAGCATTTATGGGAGCAATGTAAGTGGTTTGGGATGGAACAAAAAACATGTGTCCATCTCGAGGGATATGCGTCACTGCGAAGTAACACTAAGTAACCCAGTCACAACTATCAACGTCTGGATCGCGTGATCCTCTGGCGTCTTTGGAAGCGCCGGTCTCGCGCAAAACGCGTTTTCCGTATCCATACGCTCTTTGCTGTAAGAGATTCAGAATTTGGCGTGGCGGGAGCGTAAGTCGAGACGGCATCCGCGAAATCACACCATAGACGCGGGGTTCCTCTCTTTCGTCTGCTGCACATCCCGGAGAGTGAAGCATTCCGAGTCTGAGAAGCCTGTTGACAGTGGGCGGGATGAATTCTGCTGTCGTGGATCTAGAGAGGATTACTTACAAGTTCCCTCAATCCTGCTGTTCTAGAGGTCCGAAGATGCCAGCTCTACGCAGGCGAGTGGTCAGGCATGGAGACGATGATTGACCGCATCTGCGCCTGCGATGAAACTTGGACACGTTGCTCAAATTTATTGGCGTCTTCCCTTCAATCATGGTGCGTCGATTCTGGCCTTCCATCCATCTAGCCCACTATGCTGTGTCTTCATGATCAGTTGCGCAATGATATGCCACCACACCTGTGAATCCGGGGTTCAAAGTGCCTCAGGCTGTGTTGTAGTCGTATGTTGTTCGCGTCATGGTCGCTCCGCGTTCTGACTTGTGCTCGATATCAACAGCGCCCCAGCGATGTCGATGAATGGGCACATGTTAGAACAACGAAAGTCGACACCCTCTTATCTATAGCCATCAGGACAGGCTCGGATGAACGAGTTTATGGGTTACCAGGCAATGTAAATCTGTCTTCCTATTAATTTGCAGTCAGTGAGGCGTCTACTGACGAGAGCTACGAGTTGTCGAGCACACCTCCCTACCCACATGAACGGACAGAGTCTTCTGCGATGTTTCTATGTGCGAAATTGCAAGGTAAGATCTATTGCCGCATGGTTCTCGCCTCACAGGCTGGGAATTATAGGGTCACATTCCCCCGCCAAATTCATATAGGTTTTAGAGTCCATAGGTTACCAGGGGTCTATCGGCGTTGCGGATGACGATGCGGCCGCGGGTGTTGCCAGATTGAGGAGAGATCTCTGCCCTGGAGTTGCCACAGAAAGCTTAGTCAGGCAATCTCAAAACCAATGGGAGGGCGCCGTTGACTTGAAAAGGAAATACTTTGGGGTTTAGCCTTGCCGCCCAACACAGGAAACACTTTCCTTCATTTCGCCAAAGCATATCAACCGCGGCAAGTGTACGATCTCTCCCTAGCGAGTGCCGCTAGTCGTTCGATGCCCATAAGCCAGTCTGATCGCACTCTGGGCATGTGCATTCGAATCCACGCCGCCATCATACGCCCCGCTACGGGATGGAACAAAATGGTATTAACCGCCGGGGCAGTATCGACCCTCTATTTATCCTCCTATCGACCTTCCAGCGTTCCTGGCCCGACAATCGTACCTGGCGTTTTCCGCCTTCTGTGTCTCAGAATTACCTCATACCGCCCATGTTGCCGTAGCCGTCGTCCTCCGTTTCCTCCTCCACGATCACCTCTTCGTCGTCCTTGCCCTTCATTGTATTGCCAGCACCTGCCAGCCGCCTAGAGGTTTCTTTACATCACCCACCATGACGCTTCCAGAGATCAAGGTCTACGCCTCGCGCGATTTCAAGCACTACCGCGTCGTCTCATCCCCCGTCGCAGACATCGCGGCACGCTTCTACGGGTTCATGTCCTCGAACTCGGAGGCGGCATCGCACGCTCGCTACGCCTACGCTACCGCGTACCAGGGCGTCGAGCCCCGCACACCCGGCGGCTTCCAGGGCTCGGAGCTCGACCACGCCGTGCAGCACATGCTCGCGCACCCGCCGATAATCGTGTTCGCCCAGGGCCCGATGCACCCCTGGGGCCTCTTCGAGGACGCGGAGCTGCAGAGTATCAGCTCGGAGGCGACGGGGACGAGTGCCGTCCAGTTGGACCCTGTGAACTGCGTGCGTATTTGCTATCTCGTTCTTCTTCCCCGCCGTACCTCGCATCTGACAGGGATGCAGATATTCTTGCCGTGGGCGGTGCACCAGGCGCTGAAGGAGGGGATGGAGGGCGACGACGAGCAGGACAAGGCGGTCGCGTCGTTCTTCTTGCTCGCAGGTATCGTGCACGAGACTGCGCATTGGATTGCTGCATGCGTGCGTCCAGTCGTGAAATTGCAGGGCGAAACGCTTCTCACACTCCTTGTCTTCTAGCGCCATGGGTACAAGCGTGATCCGACGCGGGACAGGAAGAAAACGTCGCTGCTCGCGAAGCTCGACTTCACGAAGACGAAGATCACCACCCACACGCGTCGCGACTGGGGCACTCACGCGAAAGAGCTCTTACTGGGCTGCGCCTACACCTTCATGTACGTCTTGTACTCTATATTATCCCTCAAATGTTCCGCGAAACCCTCCCACCCCTTCCTCGGGCCCTGTACCATCTATCTGCCTTGACATAACCGTGTTCACATGACACTCTCTTCCCACAGGTCATACGCTGACGGTACGCATGAAGTCGTCTCGGAGCGCGTCAAGCCGGTCCTCCCGCACCTCCGGCCCGCACTCTCGCCCGAGGTGCAGACGCACTGTACCGGCTTCCCCCTTCCCGAGGTCATCGACATATCCAAGTACGGCACACCGAAGGAGCACGAGGTGCCCAAATGGCGGCCGAAGAGCGACTTCCTCGTCGTGAGCTGCATGAGCCCCGACTTCGCCTGCCATCATGGCGCATGTCGTCTACGGGATTAGGGTCGGACAGGTCCTCTCTGGATCTGTGGCTAGAGGTGGGATCAGGAAGATATGCGGATACGTGCGATGATTCGTCCCATGGTGATGTCGCGGAGCCCAAGCTTGTCTAGGAAGAGCGGGCCCGGTATGTTTCCGGCGCATGCTCAATGTATACCAGCATTGTTCCCTTCTGCTCGCGTTCCTTTTCATCTATCATCGACATACGTTATTCATCATATATGGTACAACTCGTAGATTTGCAAAGCGGTATGACTGATACGAGCTCCTCTGCTTGAGGCATGGGTTTGCATAGTCGTTCTGAGATACACCCTAGACGACGGGTTCCGTAAATGTTGCCCTCGGAAGATATAGCTGGTCGCAGAATAAGGAGAATTGTATTCAAGCAACCGCGGACGCGATATCTATCATGTGGAGAAATATACATGCATCCTCAGATCTCCTCGTCTCAGGGTGGCGGATAACCCTCCACAACCTCAACCTCCCATCCGTCTGGCACAACGACGTCAAATATGCAGGCAGGGCATTCCAGAACTTCTGCCGCTCCTTGTAGATGCGCTCGCCGGCATGGTAGAGACAGTTGGGGCACAGGTTTGGTGATCTGTACGCCTCCACCTTCCCCTCCGCCATCAAGTCGTCGACTGTTACAGTGGACAGCCCCCCTCTCTTGAACTTGCGCCGCCAGCGCTGAATCCATTCCTTGCAGACATCCATGTGATGGCACGTCTCGTCTTCGAAATGACACTCGTAATCGACACTCACGGACTCCGATACCCCGATTGCGGCCCGGACATTCCACAAAACGAGCGTCTCCTTCGCGGCGAAGCACCCTTCGAGATCCTCGGGACTCAGGAACTCCCGCGAGCCGTCCTCGCGCGTGAAGCCTTGAGTGATCTTCTTCTCCAGATCGCAGCACTCGAGGAGCGCAAACGGCAGGAGGTCGTGACTCTCGGTGAGACGGGCGAGATTCACGACGGCAATCGCGCACTGGCCCACAACATCAACGGGGCGATCTTCTCTGATAGGGCTGTTGTACCCGGCGCTCATATTGGGACATTTCGGACAGGGAGGGCCGTCGGGTAGGCGCGTCGGAGGTGGTAGAGACCTTCGTCAACGAGCTTGTCGATTCGGTACTTGTGGCCGAGGCGGATCCATGCGGAGATAGCATGGAAGTGAAGATGTCTAGGTGAGGATGGATGTAGAGCCATGGTCAGGAGGAGGTGCGCACGTATGAGTCTGGGCACAACGCACTCGAACGATCGTCCGATCGTGAAGACGCGCAAGACGTGTCTGAGGTCCTCCGGGGAGTCAGAGAGGTGTATCAGCGGACATTCGGGGCTCTGTTCTTGCTCCTGGTATAGCAAATGAGGTTCAATGGGCTGGGGATTGGACAGCATGTCGCGGAAAAGAGGAGAGTGCTTGGCAAGGGGACCGCGATAGACGCGGAACTCGACATTGCGGGCAATGAGAATGATAGTGCCGTCCTCGTACCAGAGTCCGTAGTCCCGAGAGAGAGGCTCTGGTACAAGACGCGTACGGTGGGAACACGACGCGCCCCGGCTACAACAGTCTGGGTGACGTCAAATGCACGTGCTGCGTGATTGATGACATGTAGGTTGGGCCACACGACACAGACGCCTTCCAGGGCCTCTTTGCTTTGTTGCTGACCACGACAATCCAATACGCGATGCTGCTGTTCCCCATGCGATGCGACTTGACCTTACAACACACCTTGTGAACCCTTGCTTGGCATCTTCACTCAAAGCATCTAGCGTGTTGACATCATGTGGCCCGTGCCGCCCGGTCCTGAGAGGTTAAGATCACAGCAAATGGTAATTGCGTAGTACCCGAATCTGCTAAGAAGCGGCAAGGATTAGGAGGTCGAGGCGGTGCCCAGTCACCAAGGCAATAACAAAGAAGTCTCTGAGAAGCCCGCCTACGTACATATGAAGTCTCTCACGCGCGTAACACGTGTGTAAATAGAAGTCTCCGTAATGTGGGAGCGGTGGCTACGACTCGGAGGTCTCTTCAAGACGCCTACCATCTTCGACTGCACGGCACTGAAGATCAGACGTACCAGATCATGTTGGGTCGTCACCCAGACGTCAAGGGACAGGGATTCGACTCATGCGCAGACGCGGATACTCCACAGGCAGGACCGAGGAAGTGTGATGAGGAATTCTGGTACGAGGACGGGACGATCATCCTGATCGTTGGCGATGTCGAGTTTCGGGTCTTCAAAGGCCTCCTAGTCGACCGCTCTTCAGTATTCCGCGACATGTTCGCCTTTCCTCAGCCTCCTTCGGGTGCCTCGACATCGGCAGGACAGACCTCTTGTCCAGAGGTGGCGTTAACGGACTCACCGGCAGACGTCCGGCATCTGCTCCACTTTCTGATGCCTGGAGGGAAGTCAGCGTTAGTACCATTTCACTGTCCAACTAGGGCTGACCTCACTGATCTCTTACGATACACACAGGCCCCCCAGTCCTAAGGACTCCACGTTTGATAATATTTTCGCATGCATCTGTCTTGGACACAAGTACCAGATCGACTACGTCGTACAGCAAGGTCTCGAACTCCTCAGAGCGAAAATCCCGGCGGTCGATGTTGTTCAGACCTCCCTGGGTAACACTACCTTCCGCAAGCCCCAAATGTCTAGGGATAACACGATCCGCGTTATCAAGCTTGCCCGCCTTCTGGATGCCAATGATCTCCTCTTCCAGGGGGTCTGGTCTGCCGCATACTTTACCCCACAAGAGCTCAGTCAGGGCTTCTTGCGACCTGACGGCACCCACGAGGTTCTGTCGACTTCCGATTTGGCCCTGTGCTTCTCCGCAAAGGAGCGCCTGATCCAGGAGCATGTCAGACGCATCATGCGTTGGCTCACCCCCGTAGTTGCCTCTTAGTGTGAGCCGCGCGGGCCGTCTGGAAAGACGTGCTACGGCAAGTTGGCTAAGGCCTTGCAGCTTACCGAAAGCGAAATTGACGCCTGGCCCATCCTTGAACATTTCACATGCTGGAAGCTGCAGGACGACCAGAAATTCGGGATTTGCAACGACTGCCTAGCCCTGCTCAGAAAGCGGGAGACTGATGGCCGAATGGACGTCTGGAAGAGACTGCCCGAAATCATTGGGGTTGAGTATCCGAACTGGAATCAGACGGCCGTCGCGTGAGCGACGCCACGATCGTAAGTCTCTCAGTCTTTGGCTGATGCGAATCGAAGGTGGCTCAAAGGTGCGGTTGTGCAGGTGACTCACGCTGATGCGGCACGCTGGAGCCAGTTTGCTGTGGGCAAACATGAGGAGCGACCTGCCGTCCGCGGAGGTCTAGAGTCATCATGGGGGCATGAATGGGCTTGTCGCGGCTCGTTACGGTCTGTACTTTCTCCGTAGCTGTCCGTGTGTCCTAGATGAAGCTTTCATGCTGAACAACACACGATGTTATGTTAGGTCTCCCTCACGGTAATTTGTGGAGCTGCTGAGCTGATGATATTGAGACTGCTCGAGCGACCTATCTCCCGTATTCTCGACCCGATGCGGCGCCAAATAGTAGTGTAAGGAGCAGTAACCTATGAGGCGGAGGCAAATCGAGTAGGTCGAAAGAGGGGAAGTGTATCATTACTTGGAATTATCAGTTTTATCATTCTCCTCGGCTGCAGTACAGATGGATTTGTTAGCATGACCGTAGAGCGGTGCGAATGGCGTAGGCATGACTTACATTGTACATCAATTGACAGTAAATCTGCCTGCGTCAATCGCCTTCTCCGAGCGACAGGCATACTTCATGGGTATCTAAGGGCCTCCTTGCTCTATCCTACCGTCGCTTGCTGGGAAAAGCATTCCAGAACTTTGCACGCTGCTTGTCGACCAGGGCACCGACGTAAATGCTGCAGTTCAAACACAGGTTCCGTGATCTGTACGTCTCCTCTCCGTTCTCCGCCAGCAGGCTGTCGGCCCTGACGAGGTGAGTGGGGCTGATGGCGCTGAACTTGCGGCGCGTGTTCTTGAGCGACCTCGTGCAGCTCTCCTCATCGTAGCACTCGCCGTCTTCGCCCCACGGCTCGTAGTCTATGCGCGCTCTCTCGAAGACCTTGAGCGCCGCGTCCACGTTCCGCAAGATCAGCTTGTTCTTGACCGCGAAGCACCGCCCGAGGTCCTCTACCGCCAGGTGCTCTCTCGTTCCGTCCTCGCGCTCGAAGCCTTGCATGATCGTCTCGCCGAGCTTACAGCACTCGAGGAGTGCGAGGGGTAGGAGGGCGTGGTTCTCTGTGAGGCGCGCGAGGTTCACGACAGCGATCGCGGACTGTTTGATGTAGTCCTTCGGTCGGTCCTCCCTTATTGGCGTGGAGTCCTTATAAACGTCGCTGTAGAGAGGGTGTGAGCTCGTGAGGCGGGTTGGGTAGGCGCGGCGGAGGTAGCGGAGACCCTCCTCGACGAGCTTCTCGAATTGGTACTTGTGCCCCAGCCGGATCCACAAGGAGACTACGTGAAAGGACGGTGTCTGCGCCCGAAGATGTCTGTACGTAGAAGAAGGCGATTGAGATGTGACATCTAGATATGGGTTCGAGCGCCACTCACTCGAGGGACGCTCCGGCAGTGAACTTGCGCGCAGGACGTGTCTGAGGTCTTCGGGAGAGTCCGTTAGGTATATGACTGGACAGCTAGGGTTGAAATTTGAGGCTGCCGTATCAAACGCCGGACTCGGGGCCTGAGGTATTGAGAACATGTCATGAAAGACGGGAGAATGCTTGGCCAGGGCGGCGGTAGACACGGAACTCGATGTTCTTCGCAACCAGAGCGATTGTGCCGTCTTGTCTTTCGCGGGGGATGCTTGTTGTTCTTCTATCGAGATGCGAGGCCGTTTGTTCGGCGGAGCGGTACCGGCTGTTCGCATCGTGGGCGGGCGTAAGGCTTGAGCTGACAACTCGTCGATATCAATGTGATTGACCCGCATCACGTGACTCATCGTGCCTCAGTTCAGGCGCTGGCGAGCGACATCCGCTCGCCCTATTATTGTGGTGGAAAGAGAACAATATTTGGTCACACAATCTACCCTCTCTCATTTGTAGCGGTGTATTAGGCGACAGGCCTTTCAATGCTTAACGTTGTCTCGCTGGCGAACATCAACCCTCTACGGTCTTCTGCGCTCGACACCGGCGGTGCATTGTCGCGTGGTGGGCCCGATGACCCATGGACGGTGTCGAGAATTCCTGTGGAGTCGGAACTTCTAGCAGTCTGGGGGATGTGTGAGCGTACTCTCTGGGAGTGTCAGATTTTTGAGTCTTGAGCGTGGGGGAGTACTGGAACCGTCACGAAGAGGGCGGATTACTCCTGCAAGTGACACTTGTGGATAGCTGCGCTGACGCTGCAACTTGCGGTTATATCGTGCAGCTGTGGGTGCCGCTTTCGACTCACCTGGAACATCGGTCTGTGGTGTGCAGGAGTCGTATTGTATCATCTGGTCGTCTTCGTTCTCGGCCTTGGAGGTGGATTGTATCGGGAGTACTACAGACAATAACACCTAGGGCATAACAGTACAATGAGCTCGAACGCATAACACGTCGTAAGGGGAATAGAATGTACATCCTCGCATACACATTTTCTTGGATCTCCTCGTCCCAGCATAACGGGGCCTTGTTAATGTCGACCGTTCATGTGTCTGGCACAGCGAATTCATATACTGGGCACGGGTGTGGTCCTCCACCTTCTCCTCCGCCATCAAGTCGTCGACTGTTGTGGTGTACAGCCGCTTCTCTGGAGCTTGTGCCATCAGCTCTCCAACCATTCCTTGCAGGCCTCCATGTGACGGCACATATCGTCGTCGAAATGACACTCGTTATCGACGAGATCACGGACTCCGATATCTGCGTCGCGGCCAAGGAGGCCTGGGGGGTCGATAATTTACGTACCCCTCGCAACGCATGGCGATATGGTTCTATACCTGAGAATGGACATCAGCTAAGATTGTGTCATACAACATCGAAAGGCATATACTTAAGTCGTACGGGAGTCGCCATCGCCCAAGACTTGTCGCACTGAGAACGATGGAACGGGTGGTTCATTGGCTTCCGTCTGAGCAGGAAGCTCACTCGGGCATGAGGCCACTCCGATACTATCCCGTTACTCATCGCGCACGCAGCAGGTGGATCCGGTACGATACCCTTCCGATTCGACAGATACGGCTGAGGCAAGGACGAGTGGTTTGAGGACGGAAGTTGAGCGCTTAAGGCATCGCGGCGGGCCGCTGCCTCCTGCGTGCGTTTGTTCAAGGCAAGATTGCTGGCGGCGCGGCCGGAGGTGACAGTGGTGGGTTAGACGGCGAAGCGCTAGGGAAGGTGCGATGCCAGTGAAGCGATAGACTCAGCGAGGGACACGGCCCTGTTGGCGGCGGGTACCCTAGAATACGAGTGTCAGATAGTCGTACAAAGAACGGCAGCGTAGAGAATGCGTAGAGAAGCGCAGGGTAGCCGCGACATTCCTCATAGCACCGCCAGAAACGCATTTGAAGTGATGGCGATGCTCCCGCTATAGGCGCGACTGTGGACAGATGCCCGTAGAGGACCCCGACGGTGCTAGGACCACGAGGAACAGCGGGGACGAGATAGGGTCGCTCCAGACATAACAATGCGCGATGCAACATATAAGCAAAAAGACGGACTTTTTGTGCATTGCTCCATTCATCTATCTCGGGGCTGGAGCACCCTCGAGACGCTCCTTCTTGCGCGGATTCCTAGTCACATAGGCGTCGTCGTCCCTCTGCGCCGGCTTCTTCTTCTCTAAATTGGGGTATGTACCGTTCAGCAGCAAGCGGCCACAACTTGTGTTCGCGCCAGCCTGCCGTCGGTTTCGACGCCTGCCCTCGCCGGTCACGCCGGGCGGGTAGTACTGCTTGGACGTAACGTGCAGGTACAACGACCTCCTCCCGAGCTGCTCAGCGGTTTTCGAGAACTTCTTGTCGGGCATCGGGTCCAGGAGAGTCCGCATGTGTGCCCGGCGGTAACGGGGCCTGTCAGCGACGTGGCATACGATGCGTATCGTGTCCTCGCCGCCGTGCTTGACGCGCGTGGCCTCTTCATAGATCTTCGCGGTGGGGAGGCTGTCGAGGGTGTGGGCGTACTCGGAGAGGCAGGAGGCTAAGAGCAGTGTCGACGGGGGAGCTGGGGCCCGCGTGCTAGTTCGAGTTGCAATATTGTTGTTGTCGACGAGATATGGGGATGGGCAGGACGCTCCGCTGGTCTGCCATCAACGACAAACGCCAAAAGCAGGATGTATCGGAACGCCGGGCCGGGGAATCCACACGCGAGGGTGAGCTCAAGATTGACTCCGACGGGTCGGTCGACAGCCACAACGATCTCCTCGATGCTCTCGCTCTCTTGCTCACCTGCCGAACCATCGCTTGTACAGCTATCACTCTATCCTCTCTGTCCCGCCTTCTGTGACATCCACGGAACTCAAGGCTGCGTACCATCGCCGCCTTCTCGCTTCGCATCCAGATGAACTCGCCTCTGGAACCCCGGAGGATGGCATAGACATCGGCCTGCTCACGGAAGCCCCCTGTACCCTCAGCATACCCGAGCCTTGGACTTAGTACGATGGGCTGCGGCGAGTCAACGGGAAGCAGCTTGGCCCTTGCCTCGCACAAGTGGTCTCGCTCGAAGAATTTGACCAGGAGCCGGACACGAGGTGGACGTACTCCTGTCGCTGCGGGGGCATCTATCTCGTCACAGAAGAAACGTTGGAGGCGGACCAGCGTCTTGTGGCGTGTGTGAGCTGCTCGGAGGTCGTGTGGGTGGGCCATGAATTCGTGGAGATGGAGGAGGAACGTGGACAGTAGCCTCCGTGCGCTGCGGCGTGAGTCTAGAGTGGCTGGGGAGAAACTGCAGCATCTCCGCTTTCCCTATAAATCACCGTCTTATAGGTATAGGTATGTGCTTTACGGACGAATGTATGCGATCCCGTGGTGTCTAATGCGCTGTTGTGGCAATCGCACCAGCCTGTTCAAGTGTACTAGCAACGGCATCCGCACGGCCAGCCGCAGTTGTCCGGTTGTAATCTGCTGCTCTCTATTCTAGACATGCGGACTCGATGAGTGTAGGAGCGTCGTTGTCAATCGAAACTGCTTCACGCGTAGCGCGACTTCACTTCGTGCGCACTATCTGCGAGCCCGGAGCTGCAAGCATTATCCGGAACATAGTCTGCACCCCTCTTCTCGTCTGCACCCCGGACGTGTGCCAACAATTCTCTTGCGGTGCGCTCGTATGCTTCTTGGCCGCGTGGTGGAACATGTCCGCCTGTCGTGCGTCTTGAGGTTCGATTGATGTGTGCTTTGCCATAATGTGTAACATGTTGACGTGCTTCTGAATTGCCATGCGTCTAGGGTCCTACTCTATCCAGGCATATTCGAACGCCGACAGGTGACCTTGAACTAGCTGTTGTGGATCGTCGCACAGGGTTCCGCCCCGTATCATCGGCATTATCATCGTTCGGAAGCCCGGTTCTCCAAAGCCGAGCCATTAACAGTAAGAAAGGTCTTTCAAAAGGGTAAATATCACGTCCTCGCTGCAATCACATGTTCTGACTCCATATTTGCAGGCTTCCAATCAACGTCTTCCCTAACCCTCACTCTTCACCACGAGCAGCTCCTTCCATGCAGCTATATTCCAGCGACTCGCCCGCCGTCTATTGTGTCATGTACAATTCCGACTGGATGCAACCATAGGTGAGAGGGCCGATAGCTGTGTACGACTAGAAACCTACTGTGACAATTAATAGTCTTAACCTGACCACATCCGATCGCAATCTGTGTGCAAACCTTCGCACACTGCATTCGTTTTTCCTTTAAGTTCGAAGCACCGGCACCCCATGCGTCTCGTCCTGCCCTCATCTACAAGCGTGTGAGTATCTTCAGCAGCGTTTCCCCCACACGTTCATTGACGTACAATATAAGAGATCTCAACTCGTCATTCATGGATTTCGTGCCCCCGTATATCAGTTCCTCTCAGTCGGAGAAACAGTCGCAGAGCGACTCAGTCAATGACAATTCCCCTCAACCTTCAACGGCTCAGAGCCCAGTAAGTACCTATTGCCCTTTTGGCAGACCCGGTCCCCCATCCGCTTATACTCCATTCGAGTCGGTGGTATCCACAGTGGGTGAAGGCACCGAGCGGCCAGAAGGGAAATTTTCTCCGCAGTCTCAGATGAGGTGAGCTTAATATTCGGTGTCATGCTATGCAATGTTCGCTATAGTGACATTATTACTAGTCCTACCAGTGAGAAGGGACCTTCTGCGGCACCCAAGTTGCCTATGAATTACCTTACTCCTGATGTAAGTAAGGCAGTCGTGTGTGTATCTTTTCGTAGCTGACCCATATCGCTTCCTATAGGAGATGATCCAACAATTAAAGGAGGCGCTTAACAAGAAGTACACGGTCAAGGCAAGGTCAGAGGCATGGGCCCTCACTGCGGGGATGGTTGAGAAACATAGTTCAGCAATGGTAGAACAATGGATCAAAGAGATTGACGCATTGCCAACGTTTGTGAGTCCTGAAAATTGACAATTCCGAATGGTTGATGGACGGACACCCCTCTTTTCAGGCAGGGCTATTCTCTGCGGTCCTCACAGCATTCAATGTCCAGACCTATCAATTGCTCCGACCTGGACCTACGGATACTACTCCCGTCCTCATCCATATTTCCGGACAACTTGTCAGCTACGCCGTTAACCCACTCTACGTCAACTCCACCCAGCCGTCCTACGACGCAATTGCTGCTTCTACATCCCCTTTTCGTGCGCCGACATACGCTATCTGGCTTAACATTTGCTGGTTCACCAGTCTCGTACTCAGTCTGGCTTCTGCATCCATCGGCATTACCGTGAAGCAATGGCTCAATCACTATGAGGTCGATTTGTCCGGAACAGCCCGGGAGACTGCGGCTATCCGACAGCATCGGCTGAACAACCTCATGAAGTGGAAGGTCCCCCAGATCGTTGCAATGTTACCCATCCTTTTGCAAACCGCCCTTGTGCTCTTCTTTGCCGGCCTAGTCATTCTCTTGTGGTCCATCCATGCTGCACTCGCAACAGTCGTTTCTACCCTCATTGCACTCTTACTCGCCTTCACGTTCTGCACCATCATCTTGCCAACGTTCCAAAGCGACTGTTGTTATCTATCACCTCCCTCGATTGTCTTTTTCCATGGGGTAGAACGGATCAAATGGCTTCTTAGGAGGTCGGCCTACCTCTTGGCATTATTCCCTCTCCAATGTGTCGTAACCGCGTTGTGGTGGAAGGCGTCTCCCGGCACAATCTTCAACGTCCTAGACCGGCTGGATGACTTCCTCTGGGAGATTTGTGAGGAGTTCTCTACCAGAGACCCAACCTCCCTTCGGGTACGCGAACAGATCGTTGTCAACAAGGATTTCAACACCCTCGGAGAGGATATGATGAAGACGGCATACAAGACGACGATGGGTCCCGCATGCTTCAACTACGCCTCCACTTGTCTCGCAGACCACAAACTCCCAGACGCTATCCGTTACCATGACACAGTCCTCGCCATTCTCTCTGATCACTGGTCCAAGGACCGCAACGGATGGCCTGCGGGAACGTTCCACAGCTATATTCGGCTCGCAACCCGCATCCTCCAGATGACACAAATAGAGCCACCCCAAGGGGAGGACTCTGGGAGCTGGAAAGAGATGGACGGATTGTTGGGGATGATGCTGTGGCATGAGCATGCGGGTGCAATTGACTTCGACGACCTTAATGACTTTTTGCGTTCTACAGCACTCATCGCCATGGGACCTAGGTCTCCGGAGTCCGCACAAACTTATCTATTCACGTCATTGGAGCCCAAGACGACTTGGAAACATCCGTACCCAGGCACGACACTTTGCTGGGGTATGTACTGATGTCGAACATCTAAAGTCTGCAGCAGACTGGATACTCATGATCGACCCAATTCATAGTCGCTGCTGCTGCGAAGCATATGATCGATACATCACCCCTCAATCAAGATGACGGCGACACTGCTACACCACAAACACATTTGGGCCGCCAGGCCTTCGCCGACTACTGCATGATTGTGCGACTCGCCATTCGGTGCATCGCACGTCGGACCGATCAAGGACGCTGCGTCAGAGCATACACTTGCTGCAAACCATCACGTAGCTGCGGTCCTCGACTCTATCACGAAGTCTCTGAAGAGGCCAGTTTGGAGGGATCTATGTGGCGATCCGGATGTCGCGGACGTCTTCTTGAGGCTCATCAAAGATCTCTGCATGCTGCCACAGTTTGCCTACGCCAAACATCTTGTCGCAGTCTCCCTCGTAGACGCTCTGAAGGACGGCATAGTCATTTACAAGTCTACTCCAGACTTGCCGCCATCCGACCAGGATGAAGATGGAAGCAGCGTTGTCGGGTCGTCAGCAAAAGTGTCAGAGAGGTCGACAGATGTAAGGGCGGAAGAGCTTTAAGCATATCTTGGGCCCCTTCAAGCTCATGTCAAGGGTATGTGATACAATTTGTCATACAGCCGTTGATCAAGTTAGCTTAATCATGTTCACACACAGCACCCTTGGCGTCAGAAACCTTGTTTTGAACCTTCTTGGCATATGATTCGTCAAGGACTAGATTGTACGACATTGCGTACTTTACCTGAACTTCGACCATGTTTGAGCGACTGCGCAAAGGCTCGAGTTTGGAACACTATTTGTACACTTCTTGTTATTGCGCCGTATACCAGTGTGTATATTTGTGGCCCCGGGTGGGATGGTGACGGGATTTGCACAATCGCCAATGGCCCGCTCCCAAAGAGTTACAACGACGAGAAGTCAGATTACTGGGATGATAATATCCGTGTACATAAGATGATACGCGCCCGTGAGCATTCGCTCGATTCCGATGCAGTTCGAATGCATGCCAAGCTGGGACTATCCTAACTTCGACGTCGACCCAACGCGCCCGCCCCTTGTTTGGGTTGCCATCGTAGTGCTCGCCACCGTCGTCAAATCCGAACGCACGCCAAACCAAACTCAAGCGCAGACACGCGGGACACGTCAGAATTGGACCGCCGCTCTTACCGTACACATTCGGAGAAACAGAGTACTCAACCTTCCGCACACACGACCTCACCATGAGGGGCCTCCCCAGGGTACGCCTACAACCCGCTCACCATCGCCAGATCCACGACCCTCCCCCTCGTCAGCCTCGCCCGCTCCTCCTCCGGCTCTAGGTCGAACTCCATCTGCATGTCCTCCTGTGTCAGTGTTAGCGTCCTCAGCTCGCGTTCGTGCTAGTCTTTTTTAGAGTCTTCAGCGAGAAGATCGCCGTCGCAGCCGCGAGATTCACGATGGACTCTCGCACTGCGCTCGGGGAGTCCGACGCGTGTCAAATCACGGGCAGCGCGGGGTAATTTTTCTCCTGGCCCGAGGATATGTCCACCTCGTGGGCGTCCCCGATGTCTGCGGGGTTCACACCAGGACAGGAGGTGGCGGATAATGAGGTGTTGCTCTAGAACCTGTCCCACGTCTGGCGGGTGGCGATCACGTACTTCTCCAAGGGGGATTGCCTGGTCAGGATGGAAGACGAATGCAGCGGGTCGGCGGTCTCCTTTGCGGATGTGCACAACGACATAGGGCGCCGGGTTGTTGTGATGGGGTGGGCGAGGTGTAGCCTGAGTGGGGCGCGGAGCCTCGGCCGCGCATTGCGTGGGGCATGTGGGTGGCGAGGAAAGCGTTGATAGGAACTCTGTGCGTGCTGCGAGGATGAGCTCAGCTGTGTGTGCATTTGGGCGATTGGCTTCCTCGAATGACATTCGCGCGCGCTCGAAGATAGGCTGCAAGTGGTGGCTATATCTATTTGTACAATCCCGCAGTTAGCGTCGCAGATAAGCATATAGGAAATGACGGCATACGGATCCTCGTATCCTGTCGGAGGAAAGTTTAACACGTGACAGTTGCTTGATAGGCCACATATTACTACCCAATGTCTGTAGAGCAAATCAGTTACGTGCACTCGAGTTGTACTGTTTCGCGAACTATGCGGTCTGGGGACAAGCGACCAGTTCTCCACCGGTGACGACGCGGGAGTGGCCGTCACGCGCCCTGTCATTTACCTCCAGACGGTGGAGTACGGCAGCAGGGCTCTGGACCAGGGTCAAGACTGCGAACAGGCTGAAAGCAGTCCGTCCGACTGTATGCGCGTAAGTACATTTTGTCGATAGAGTATGCGGCAAACCCGCTGGCGTACTCACTTGCCGTGATTCCAGTGTGTCGACCTTGAGGAAAGTCCTGTTTCGCTGCAGCCGCAATCAGCTGCCATGTCACATGGGAATGTGGACAAGTGTGGGACGTACCTCCCGTGCTATCGCCGCAGCTTGCGGCCGTCGAGCAGGTATGTGACGAGCTTAGAGTAGATCTATGTGCGGCCTTCGCGCAGGTGGCAGTTGGCGTTACCGTCGTGATGCACGGCGTCCTTTCACCAGTGCAGAAATTGCCAGTACTCGTCATGGGACATGAACCCTCCCGTGAGTTTAGTGCACGAGGCACGATATTGGTCGCCCGTAAGGGGAAACTGGATGGAGTGTTCGTACGGATTACTAACGGTACATGTAGCTCCGAGTGACTAGAAGCAGAGGCCGTAAGCACAGGTGCAATCCCTGAAGCTGAGAGGGGAGAGGAGGGGTTCTTGAAGGTAGATGTAACTTAACTGGGCTCTATCGTCTCCATGAAGTCTCCGGGTGGAGCCAAATCCTTCGAATCGAGCTTCCCGGGGCTTGTAAGGGATACCACAGCGAACGCGATGAGAAAGAAGACCAGGACGACCCCACCGACCAAAGGCAGCTTAGAGAGCGCGAGCTGGATTCAATAGTGGACTGACCGTGTCTCCGCACCCTTCGCAGCAGCATCGCCATCACCGCGACCAGTAGCCTGGCGAGAGTAGTGGATGGAACTGCTGTTGCTGCTGTTGTTTACAATTATTGCTCTCGTCATTTTGGTATGCTTTCAGTAGCTCGACTTGGATGAAGCCTTCCTTCGCGCGTCCGGCACGGGAGTGTAGGTGCGGGGTGTTTGAAGGCGGTAGTTAGAGTGCAATGGCCTGCGTGTCACGAAGATGTAGGGGAGAGGTGCGGCTGGCAGGCATTCCGCATAAATGAGTGCGCGAGACGTACTAGTAGTACGCAGGAGGCGTAGCGGGCGATGGACAGCGTTGTCAGACGTGAACCGGAATAGACTTTGGGTTTTCACAGGCTCTACTTCGAGCGCCCGGCAAGATCTCGATCCGCTCACCTCGCCCTGCGGATCATTCCATCAACACCTTGCAATATCCTCTTCCACCTCACAATTGTCGTCCTGGTCCCGATAGCTATGGAGTATGGCTGCACCGTGTTTTATGCCCCAGTATATCCGCTCAACCACCCGGCGGATTGTGTTTGTAAATTCTCGCGAGAAACCCCGCTTATCCAGTACAACCTACCAAAGACGTGAGCTCTACCTGCATAAGACGCGCGGACGTTGGCTCAACGTGATCGGCGACGTAGGCTATCTGTCCGATGTCTCTGAGTTTCACGCCCTCCCCCACTCACTCTGCAAAGATGTCACATAGGTCATAATACATACATAGAAGCGAGAAATCCTCTCATCACTACTCAACCTACTTCACCTTCCACCCCTCAGGCACGGAGATGTTGAAGATCTCAGGTAGAGCGTTCCAGAACTTCGTTCGCTGCTGCATGAGCAGGTAATCTACGCAGCGCAGGCAGCCCGAGCACAGGCTACGCGACCTGAACAACTCGTTTCCGTCCTCCATCAGCAAGCGATCGACTTCGATGTCGCCCACCGCCCCCGCGCAGAACAGTCTGCGCCACAGCGCGAGCAGACTTGCGCACTCCTCCCGGCCGTTGCACCTGTGATCCTTGAACACACGCTCGAGATTGCCGGGACTGGCAGCTTCCTGGACTTGGAGCACCGCCTCCGCGTTCCGCAGCGCGAGCTTGGCCTTGGCCGCAAAGCACCGTCCGAGGTCCTCCGGGCTGAGATACTCCTTCGTACCGTCCTCGCGCTCGTACCCCTGCGTGATTGTCTCACCAAGCTTGCAGCACTCGAGGAGCGCGAGCGGTAGGAGGTCGTCGCTCTCCGTGAGGCGCGCGAGGTTGACGGCCACGATTGCGGCCTGATTGATGAGGTCCGCCGGCCGCTCCCGCCTGACCGGGGTGGAGTCCGACGTGAGTTGGTTGGGGTAGGCGAGGCGGAGGTGGCGGAGGCCCTCCTCGACGAGCTGCTCGAACTGGTACTTGTGCCCCAGCCGGATCCACGAGAAGACCGCGTGGCAGGAGGGCGCCTGCGCCCGAAGATGCCTGTAGCGGCCGCAGGTATGGAGAGATGAGAGCTTGCATCTGCAGGAGAGTGCGGGAGCGACCTACTCGAGGGACGCCCCTACGGTGAAGACGCGGAGGACATGTCTTAAGTCTTCTGGGGAGTCCGTGAGGTGTATCACAGGAAGGCTTGGGTTGAGAGGGGACGTCGGTAGCTGAGGCGGCTGCGGCATGGACAGCATGTCATGGAAGACAGGGGAATGCTTCGCAAGGGGACCTCGGTAGACGCGAAATTCGACGTTCTTCGCGATCAGAACAATTGTGCCGTCTTCATACCAGAACTCGCCATCCTTCGTAAGGGACGCAGGAGGCTCTTCTCTGGCCGTGTTGCGAGGGCGTTTGCTCGGCGGTGCAGAGTCGGCGGTCTGCATAATGTAGCCGGGACAAGCCTGAGACATCTATCACAAATTCATAAACGATTCATGTTCTATATATGAATGACCCCCACTCACGTGCTGTGCGACCAATCGCATGTTCTGTGACTCAGCTCAGGCACCGGTGAGTTGGAGATACGCCCCAATCGGTTACGCATCAAATTTGCGATAGATAGAGCCCCTAATCCACCTCGCGAAATGCAGGAAGCAACGCCCGAGGTCATCTGCGCTCAGGTATTCCACCGTGCCGTCTTCGTGTACAAGGCCCTGAGTGATGGCTGCGTCGAGCTTGCAGCATTCGAGGAGTGCGAGCGGGATCAGGTCGTCGCTACCGGTCAAGCGCGCAAGGTTCACGACGCCAATGGCAAATTTCCCGATGATGCTCTTAGGCCGGTCCTCATCGATGAGGACCTGCTTATTGTAAGGCCCGTAAGGGGGATGGAAGCGCCGCAGGTATGCAAGGCCGTCTTCGACGAGCTTGTCAATTTTGTACTTGTGTCCCAGGCGGATCCACGCTGACAGTGCATGAAAGGAGGGATTGGGCTCCGCGAGAGGCCTGTAGAAGGTGGTGTCAGTATACCTTCTCAGTAATGTAAGGATGCGCGAGAGGCTCACACAACTACCCTTCTGGTAGCCACGATACGTAGCATGTGTCTGACATCTTCGGGCGAATCGGAGAGGCGCACTACAGGGCAGTCCGCGTCCCGATCAACTAGCACGGGAGATGACGGAGAAGACCGCCCATCCCTCGGCTGTGTAGTAACGGATTGTATGTCGTGGAAGACAGGGGAGTGCTTGACAAGGGGACCGCGATACACGCGAAACTCGACATTGCGGACAACAAGGATGATCGTACCATCCTCATACCAAAATTCAGAGTTCTTCATGAGGGACTGTGAGGACTCTGCGTCTCCGCTGGAGGTATGACGATGTTTGGAGGGAGAGATCGCGTTGATCCCCGTGATCGGCTCGGATTCCTCTTATGCTGACGAAGTCCGAGGGCGTTTGGTCGGAGGGACGCGGTTGGCTGTTTGCATGATGATGGCGGGGAAACGCAGGAGTACACTATGTAAGTACGACCGTCGTGGCGCTGTCGGTGCAAGACCAAGAAGCATAGTCACGTGTGTAAGCGGTGTGCAAGCGCTTATCCCTGCATTCGCTCGCACGGCTTGTCGTTAGCCAGAGCTCTGTACGCCTGCCAGTGTGCTTCGCTCGTTCTGTCTGCTGCCACTAGTGCAACGACTTCCATCCTGCTTGTGCAGGGTCTTCGTACATCATTGTGTTGCGGCCTTAGCGGTCACAGCTAGAAAACACTTCGATTTCTTTAACAATGGTGCAGGCCACTCAACAATACGTGATGACGCAGGGTGAAGAAGGGCCATATTGCCTTCTATGCAGGTAAGTCATGATATCAGGGGACCTCTTCCACTTCACGCTTCCGCACACACTCGGGATGCCTTGCCCTGCTTCGACCCGGTATGGAGGTCTTCGAACAGTCGACTATGTCGAGGTTGTAGTCCTTCGGTCGGTCCTCTTCTAACGGCATGGAGTCCTTGTAGACATCGCTGTAGAGAGGATTCAAGCTCGTGAGGCAGGTTGGGTAGGCGCCTCGGAGGTTGCGGAGACCCTCCTCGACGAGCAGCTCAAATTGGTACTTGTGGATTAGAGGGACGATTCATGGTATACAGAAGTCTGATACACTCTCTTGTCAGGGACCAATAGAACGGCTTATAAATGTCATGCCAAGGCTGCTTCACTGACCCATGATGGGCATCTCATCGCGAATAGCGCAGCGAATCTGGTCGCAATGACCTGCACAAATGAACTACACATGCCAGATATGTAACAGGGATGACCTGATCAGCTGCAGACCGTGTTCACAGTTCCCGTCATGGTTGGGGTAAGGTATTCGGTTTTCGATCGCCGGCTGCAGGCATTTTGCTAGAAGCGCTTCGTAACACAAGCATCTCCACAGAGAAACCGCGGTAGGACACACTCTGGGGTGAGTGCATGCATTCTGATTGGCATACAGACTGCTTGACAGTGCTTCCAGGACTGAACAGAGGATTGGAAGAGCTAGAAATGGCTGCCGCGTCAGGCCAACGACAGAACTCTGTTAGTGCTTACCGGTTCGCGTGGTTGAATGTCCCAGACTATGGCAAATGATCCCATGCTATCTCCTTCCCCCTTACCGCCTCGACCAATCGCATCCAGGCTCCCATCCTGTGTCGGTTTGGGCGGTGACGATATAAAGGCGGTGGCGGGGGTTAGAGTTGACGAGCGACGGTATAATTGAAACCCCACCATCTGTCAACAGATCGGCCAAGACTTTGACTCGGACGCCCTCCCCAACGTTCTCTATCTCTTCTCTCCTCGATAGATTTCGTTCTGCACCGCTCCACGCCTCTGGTCCTAACTTTTGTGAGAGAACTGAGATTTTCTCGTTTGATTCTCAACTGTCCATCATAATCCGTCGAACTAATTTAGCAGCTAGACATCATGTCTTTGCTCGAGACGAAATCCGCGGACCTGGGGAGCAAGGACGAGGCCAGCACCAAGCTTTCCGTCGTAGGCAATGGCGCGAATGACGACATGTTCGAAGAGGGATCGGTGGATCCAGTGTACCAGGCGAGGGCACGCGTGTTGAACGCAGCACTGCAGGAGATCGGGATGGGGAAATACCAGGTGAGCGGTTGTCAGCGCGAATGCGGAAGGTGGATGGTCCCGACACGGAAATTTCGCACTCAGTGGTGGCTGTTCGTCGTCGCGGGCTTTGGCTTGCTCGCGTGCGTAATTCCATGACGGCTTGCGTTGCTGAGTGTACTGACAGGTTGACCTATCCTGCCGATAGTGACAGCTGTTGGTCACTAATCGGAGGACTTATCCTGAGCCCGGTGGTGAACGAGTTCCAATTCAACACGCCTTTCCTTGCGTTGGCGCAGAACATCGGTGTTTTGGTGGGGGCTTCCTTCTGGGGCTTCAGCTACGACATCTGGGGTAGAAGGTGCGCTGATTTATTCTCTGCAGGAGAAGGTCCGCCGCGTTCAATGTGGTGGAGATGCCTGGCTCGTCTGATCGCGTCTCCCCACATGGATCTGTTGAAGCTGCAACGGGCCGCTACGTGGCGCGCGCGTCTCATGTTTTGTGAAGATGAGCTGACTGACAATACGTGCCATAGATTGCTCTTCAACACCACACTCCTTGTGGCTGGTGTATTCGGATTGGCAGCCGGGGGCTCCCCTAACCTCATCACTCTGGCCTCCCTCCTAGCCGTCACGGGACTGGGCGTCGGGGGCAATAACGCCATAGATCTCGCAATGTTTCTCGACTTCGTTCCCGGCACACACCAGTACCTGCTCACCGTCATGTCCATATGGTGGTCGATGGGTCAGCTGGTATCTGCATTGGTGAGTACGATGTTCACAGATGCGCGGAACACGGTTGGGTCAGGCGGGGCTCTTTCATTCGCGCTTGTCATTGTGCAGTCGTGACGATGGGCTAGGCCTTGCGGTCGCTAGTGGAGACTATTGGACCTATATGCCGATCAGTCGTGCCCATTCAACGAAGCTATCGTGGCTCATCTTCTTGAGTTTCGTGGCCCTTCCCCGCAGGCCTCAGTAGTACATGGAGGTCAGCCATAAAGAGCCCATGGCCTCCGCTGTGGCGAGGCCGTTTGCAGCCACACCTGCGCAGGTCAAATAACCTCCCTCTGATTGCGTCAACGTCGCCCTGGCCACGCCCTCCCTGCACGCCCATACATGCTATCTAACGCTGACCGCTTGTGGGCACTCATCCTAGATCGCCTGGCCACTGATCTCCAGCTTCTCCTGCCCTCAAGGCTCCACGACCTGCACGCGCGCCGACGACATGGGCTGGCGCTACCTCCTCTTCGCGTTCGGGGGGACGGCCCTCCTATTTTGGGCGATCCGCTTCTTCGTCTTCCCGCTCGAAGAGTCCCCGCGCTTCCTCATCGGACTCGGCCGAGACGCGGAGGCAGTTGCGGTCGTGCAGCGGATCGCAGCTTTCAATGGCCGCGGGTGCCGCCTCACCGTCGACGAGCTGACCCGCGCTGGCGAAGCCGCTGCTGCGTCTCCGCAGGCGAAAAGCACCAAAAGCGGAAGCAAGCGCCAGGTGTCGAGCAAGAGCTCGGTCTTCACTACTAAGCACTTCAAGAGCCTGTTCGAGACACCCAAGCTGGCATGGTCGACGAGTCTGCAGATCGCTGTGTGGAGTTAGTATGCTGCTCCGTGCGTGGTGTGCGTGTCCTGTGTCGGGTGCTGACCTCGGGCTCTCCAGGTATCGTCGGTCTCTCTTCAACGCTGTACAACGGTTTCCTGCCCTTCCTGTGAGTCTTCGTTGCCTCGCAAGATCCTGTGGCAGCTCCAGTTCTTCTGAGCGCGGCTCTGCACGCAGTCTGGCGAGCCGTGGCGCACAGTTCGGCGACAGCTCGTATTACATCACCTACCGCAACGTCAGTCGTGCTCCCCCGTCATATATTCACCTGTGCATCTCACTCACGCTCTCCGTATCTTCGTGCCGTCCGCAAACAGCAAGTCATCTTGGGGGTCATCGGCGTCCCGGGGGCCTTACTCGCTGGGTGGGCGGTCGAACAGCCGTACATGGGGCGCAAGGGCACCCTTGCACTTAGCGCGGGTGAGCATTTCAGCGTTCCCCACGCGCATTTGCATTCTCCAACGACCCCCTGCTGAATATAGGGCTCACGGGCGTGTTTCTTTTCGCGTCGACCACCGCCAGGAGCTCCGATGCGCTCCTAGGGTGGAACTGCGGGTACACCTTCAACAACAATGTGAGCGTGGCTTTCGCTTCCACTTCGACTTCCACGAGCCCTCCTCGTGCGAAGGGTATGCGAACGCCACCGGCACATATGTGACGCGGCCTGTACGAGGCGGACCACGGATTCGAGCAACAGGCTGCTGACCTTGTCGCTGCGCCCGGCCGCAGATCATGTCCAGCGTACTCTACGCTATCTCCCCCGAGCTCTTCCCCGCCAAGGACCGCGGCGCGGGCATCGCACTGGTAGCCACCGCGACAAATGTCTTCGGTGTCTTGGTGAGTCTCGGAAGCGGCGTACGCTTACAGCCCGATGCATGCCAGGCTAACGATGCATTCCGTGGGGTGCCTTTTTGTCTCTCCTAGGGTCCCGTCATCGCGCTCTACGCGAACCTCGAGACGGCCGTCCCGGTGTACATCTCTGGGGGGCTCATTATCGGAAGCGGAGTCCTTACGCTGCTCCTCCCGTACGAGCCTCGAGGCAAGGCGTCGATTTGATGTCGCCCCCGCAGAAGCGAAATATAGCATAGACGTACATATGTCTTCAACAGACCACGGGTTGGTGTGAGTGGAAGAGGTAAGATGTGGACTTCTTGTGTATATTATGCGAACAGACACCTTAGGCTTGGGAATGTAAACAATAGAATCGCTGTAGCCCTCGATGTCTCTGTTTTGTATTGATAATTTATGCTTTTCAGATCCATGACACGCGTTAGAATCGAGCAACAAGGATGTTCGTACGACTGTCTCCATACTACAACTCGGAATCTTTCGCGAGAGACACCTGCAAGATTCTGAAAGAACGGATGGAGGCGTTCGGTGGAAAATTACTTTTTTCTCTGTAAGATGCTCAGATCTCGACGTCCGACTGCAGACGTACGTGGGCGGTAGTCTCTTGCGACGAGTACGAATATGACGCCCAATCGGCAGTCCTGTCGGCCAAAAGGTCCGAGAATCTCCTTATGGATACTAGTCCCGTATTGCATCTTGGGCGGGATCTGTAACAAAGTTTGTCTCGTCTGCCGTCGACGGAACCTTGCTCGCCTATCAGCCGTGCTTGACGCTTGACGAAGACCTTTCATGGCTATACAACGGACTATGGCCCTACCCGCTCCTGTGCTCACATTGTGAGAGGAAGGTTGAGGACAAGGCGGGCCATTTTGGACGACGTCCAGCTAACGGAGCTGTCCGCCGAGACCGCTATTTAGGGCGATGTGCAATACTCTGCATGCTGGTGAACAACTTGAAGTATTCATAGTTTGCCCATAGACTGCGACGAGGCGCTAGCGTGTTCATAGGAGTACATAGAACTTGAGCATATTCTGCGCTTGCACCTCTATCGACACATTGATGGTGTACGAACTAATTATAGATGGAGCAAACTTTCACATAGTACAGGTTGCGAGTATTATACATCATTTCAGATTGCAATCATACAATTTCGTGACACTGAGAACCATAGACAGAGCATCTGTCTACCGGAAGATCGTAATCTCCTTCCTCTTCCAGTCATCCACCATGACCCCCATCAGCTCAGGCAGGCGGTTCCATAAGTCCTGCTTCTGGGCATGTTCTCGCATATTGAGAATATGGAGGCAATGGGGGCAGAAGATTCCGCCTGGTCCATTTGCCGGGGGCCAAGTCCATCCCTCAAACGCGCAGGGATGAATGGCGCAGTCTATTCGCGATACGATCTTGTGTATCACGGCCCCTCCTGAGCATCTTTGTTTGCAGTTAGGACTCTGGAATCGCCTGTGTAAACCAACGGCATGCCCAACCCTCTCCTTCGTGAGATTCGCCTTCCCTTGAATGCATCGCGCGAGGTCAGCGTTCGAGAGCACTTCGGGGGTACCGTCCTCGCGTTGGAAGCCCTCAACCAGCTGCGGACCTTCGAGCGTACAGCAAGCGTATAGCGCACTGGGGAGGATATCATCGGCGCCTGTTAGGCGAGCGAGATTGACCACTCCTATGGCATGAACAGGACTGAGGGGATGGGTTTTGCAATGCGTGTGAATGTTGTGCCAGGTGTCATAGTCCGTGGTGTAGTATCTCCGGAGATAGGCAAGCGCTGCATCAACAAGGCGATCGAGCTGATATTTGTGGCCTAGGCGAATGGAAGCGGATATGGTCTGGTACGAGGGTTGCGTCTCGAGGGAAAACGGGCTGAGTGACAATCAGTATCGATCCAAAAACACGATTAGTAACAAGAGCAAACTCACTGAGACGAATCGATCCCAGGAATGAGGGCACGAAGGAGCTCACGAACGTCTTCAGGAGAATCAGAGAGATGAACTGTCGGGCAGGTCGACGGAGTGGACGGGGACTGTTGAGGGAGGGAGAACATGTCTCGGAACACTGGCGAACGATTCGATAGGACCCCCTTGTATACCCTAAACTCGAAATTGCCGGCTATCAGAGTGACGTTTCCGTCTTCAAACCAGAATTCTTGGTCGCGCTTCGTCTCTTCCCCTTGCGCCCGGTGGGCCAGTGGGACCGCATCATCAGTTGCTGTTGAGTTGACTCGCGCCCTTTTTCTGGAAGGCCCTGCAGCAGACATAGCCAATTTCAATCGTAGTTAACCGCGGTGTGGTGAGTAATGCTGTCGTAGAGGAGGTTGATGTGGTGGTTCCGGACAGACCTACTAACGCGACGCGGGCGTGGTATCCGAACGTTCGGCTAAGGATCTCGGCCCGTCGCCGGCCCGGCATTTTCTCTGCCACTCCAGCGGCTACTTCGCTTGGCCAGGTTCTCTCGATCGAGGGCTCAGGCGGAGGTGGACCGACTTGCATACCCATCAAGTTGTTGCATTGAATGTTGTCTTGACTCGGGTTCGCGTGGCGTCTGGCCACTGGCAACGTGCCTTGACTCTCGGCCGGTCGCACCCGGTCGCTCTCGCTGTTGGTGGCTAGTTACTATCCTATTCTTTGTACGCTCCATCTCACCTCGTGCTCGTCATCGGACGCTGTTCCGTACACTATTCTCCCGGAGGACAGGTTTTGCACTCCATCTGAATTCAGCCTACCTACACTGTTCACAGAAGGGTTAGATATGACCAGAGATCTTTACAGGCCGGTAAGGCTCCTCCAGGTACTTGATCTCTTCATCCGTCAGCTTCACATCCAATGCGCCTATCGATGCATGCCATCAACAGACTGCTCCTTCTCATCGGGCGAGCATCATCAAACGCCAAACTCACCAAGAATATCCTCAAGATTCGAGAGACTCGTGGTGCCGATGATGGGCGCCGTCACCCCCTCCTTCGCCAAGCACCAAGCCAGGGAGATCTGCGCCATACTGACACCCTTCCTCTCAACGAGTTCCTCGATCCTACACGCTCAGCACTTTAGATGCGACGGGGAGCAGATGCGCATGAATCGCTGCATACCTGCTGGTCAGAGTCGGCAGGAAGGGCGCATCTTCGTACTGAAAACTGTGTTCCTAAGCGTGAGGTGTGTTATGGGCGGAGTCATGGATACCTTTCGGACTCACTCGTCGCTCTTCTTGCGAGCTGTTGGTTCCGTATTGTACGGACGGCACAGCAGCCCCCGTCCGAGAGGGGACCAAGGTATGGACCCGACGCCGAACATCTTGCAGGGGAGCGGCGACTCGTAAGATAATCTTGAAGGATACCGAGGGCCACGAGGAACGTACCTTAAATGTGGGCATCAACTCACGCTCGTCTTCCCGATACATGAGGTTATAATGGTTCTGTATCGAGACGAACGGCGTGAGGTTGTGCGTGATCGCATAATCTGTGATGGGCGTTGTGTCAGGTGTGGTAGGACGCGCACCAAGGTAGATCTATGGCGTACTCTGCATCGCGTGAACTTGAGAAAACAGTCAGCAGACAGATCATACGGGAAGAGAGCGCCACAACATACACTGATACGCCCAGCATGAGCTCATACCAATGTATCGTACATATCCTGCCTTCACGACGTCGTGCAGAGCCTGCATCTTTTCGCACATGCCAGTTATGAGCCTGATAGATCGGTTTTGCACACTAGGAGAACGCTACTGGCGCACTTACTGTTTCCTCAATCGGCGTCTCGTAGTCGAATCGATGGCCTATACAGAGCGCAACGGTGAAAACGGAGCGAATACAGGAGACGCTGGGCACGACTGACATTGCAATAGATCAATATAATCAACCTGAAGACGCTTCAGACTAGCCTGCACGGCATCAAAGATGTGCTGTAGCAGATGCCAAAAGTAAGCAGGGGGCGGGAAGAGGCTCTCTCGCTCAGGCATGAGCGCACCTTGCGACTGAGGCCCTTCTGGTTGATGATGCCCGCCTCCTCAGGCTTCGCACTGGGTTCAGTGAAGTCCTTCTTGAAGTCATTTGCGATAGGGCTCCAAAGCTGCGTTGAAATAGTCGGTGACGTGGCGTAGTTGATATCACCACGTCGAGGACGTACTTTCGTCATGATCACGAGCTCCTCGCGAGGGAGGTTCAGCTTCCTGATCGCGTTGCCCAGGATGGTCTCCGAGAGTCCATGAGAGTACAGCTGGACGCAGTATCAGCCACATCCCCTCAACGACGGCAGGCTACGAGGACTTACGTCCGCTGTGTCGAATGTCTGAATCCCGTGATCGTAACTAGCAGGCCGGAGGTCAGTAAGGCCCGCGTCCAAGTAAGTCCGCAGTATACATGCGCGACTTACGCGAACTTGATATGCTTGATGGCCTCTTCCTCAGGCAGTACCCAGTCCCGCCATTCCTTCGTGCCGTAGGACATGCAACCGAGAATGATCTTCGACACCTTCAATCCGGAGTTCCCGAGACGGACTGTGAGGTTCTGATGAGAAGAGTGAGCTGCATACGCTATGATCGTGGGGGCATACCATACTGCATTCTAGGGGCCATGGTGATGACAGTAGCGTAGCCTCGCAAAGCGCAAAAGCAGTCCTGGGCGGCCGATCAGGGGGCGGCACACGCATTGAGTCGAATTTTATACGGAAACGTGTTCGAGGCTTCTCCGGTTGTTGGAGACGGACGGACTTGCGCGTGGGGCGATTCGATGGTGCTGACTGTATATGGAGCTTGGCGTGATAGTGAAGCGGTCCAATACTTCAATCACACCCAGAGCACATACCCCGAGGGTCTCTCTGCTCGTTCCTCGGTTGAAGTCGCCAGTGATGTGTATTGCACATGCCGATTCAATCCTGACCTCGCTCGTGCTCCCAAGCGAATTGAGAACAAGGCTCAGCCGTTCGAGACACCTGACCGAGTCCTGACCCACCTGAAAGTCCGATATGGTGCATGAGGCAATGTGGGAAGAGAGGTAGAGACCGCTGTCTATGATCGATGACTGCCTCACCAATTGGGAAATTGGGACAGTTCGATGCAAGAAACTGGAAGCAACTCTCTTACAGGTAGGGAGCGTACGGTCTTGAGGCCTTTCTGTTATATAAGGTGCCGTCGGGGCCATGAGTTTCAATGGAGAGATCGAATGTGAGATAACGTGGATAGCAGGACGTCCGACGCAGACGTCGCGAAGCAACTTGAACGAGCAACTGCCAGGTCTCCGTACAGTCACAGACACGTGGCACATGCCGCCTCCCTCGGCCCCGGCGTCGTCCTCTTCGGTGCGGCTCTTACTCTGGCCACCATCTGCCTGTATGCTTGTCTTATACCATGAAATGATCCTTCTAGGACATGCCCGGTGCTATAGGCTCCATCCCTGTTTTCAGGAAAGAGGCTCGTTTTGACCGTCACCCGACACGCCATCGACCATCGCAACAAGCTATCAAAAAGAGCGTTGACTCTACGGACTGGACATGTACGCTCTGACAACATTCCGTCTCTGCTACATCTCCTCGACAAGGCACAACCTCATTCTGGTCTCCCTGGGTCATCGACAGCGTTACACTGGTCATCAGCTGCTTTCGCATTCGCTGTCCATCAATTTATACGGAGTTCACTTAGAAGAGGGCAGGGTGGTGGAGAGTTACAGGTCGTACGAGTACCACGATTCTCGTACATGAGCGGTATGAGTAAGGTATGCAGGTGCGTGACGTGGCTCATCGTCTTCTACAAGCATCCAGTCTACAAATGGTGACGCCTTTGCAGCGGCCGACAAATGTCCCTATGACATTCATCAACTTCTGCGGAATGATATGCCCATCATCGCTCAGCAGTAAGTCCCTCATAGGGCAATTCTTCTGGGTTGACACCGTGGACGCCATCCGTTCGGGCGTGCGGACTCATCCTGTGAGACATTTCTCCGCGTGGATCTCACGAGTCGGGGCTATCAGCAACAAGATGAGTTTGTGAGAGCAATGCATTATTGTCTTCGACTTGCGACACGTCTGGATATGTGGTGAGCCTCAGCAGTATCACTGCGATCATGTGCGAATGCAGTGAATACATAGCAAGTTATTAGCGAGGAGTCCCTCCCGTGCGCCGGCTCGGAGTCACGACTCTTGCGGCGACGATGACAGGGTATCACGTGCTATGACAGATAGGGGTAGTCTTTTCGTCGGTCGACCACGACAGACTGCAGCGAGGGTGTTTACCACATTGCCTCTCGTATAGTAAGCCTCGGTATATTTGCACCTCTCTTGCCCCTGGTCCACATGCAATCTGATGCTGCACGTATTCACACAGGAATGTCGCCTCAGCCTGACTATCATGATAGTGAACCCCGCCCTCGGAAACGTCTGCGTACCAAGTCGCCCGCAGCAGATATGCCGAGTCATATTGCCGTAGCAGACGAGGACTCGGGGCGCGACAACGAAACTATCATCTTGCAATGTGCCGGGGGTACGAAGTTGGTAGCTCCCATGAGCTTCCTTGCCGATCGCTCCCCTATCTTCCGGGACATGTTCCTTATCCCTCAGCCTCCGCCATCGACAGCGACGACGGAAGCAGACTCGGTGGCTCCGCGAGTCGTCGAGCTTCCCGACTGCACAGAGGACGTGTACGATCTACTTCGAGTGCTCGTCCCGGCCGGGGCTGCGTCGAGGTACGTCTGCCAAGAGTGCGTCGATGCCCTCTTCTGATGCACAGCCCGCCCTAGACCATTCTCGTCCCACATCATACCAACATTCGACACTATCTCCGCATGTATCCGCCTGGGACACAAGTATCAGATCGACGACATCGTCGAAGCGGGCGTCGGCTACCTCCGCGACTTCTTCCCGCGCAGCCTCGACGCGTACCGCGAGATCGTCAGCCCCGCCGGCCCCCCAGCGTTCGAGCGCGTGCACGCCATCGGCGTCGTGAACCTTGCGCGCCTCACGGGGGCGTCCGAGGTCCTCCCGACCGCGATCATGAAGTGCGCCTCGCTCCCCGGCTCGCAGCTCATCGCGGGCTTCCGGCGCCGGGACGGCACGCATGAAACACTGTCCGAGCACGATCTCGCGCTGTGCGTAGATGCGCAGCGCGCGCTCATGCGGGAGCATGTCTGGCACGCCATCGAGCTCTCTGCCCCGTTCGTCAACGGGAACTGCGTCGACCGCGCTCGCGGCTCCTCCTCGGGCACGCGGCTCTGCGTGCACGTGGCGAAGCTCGTGGCCGCGGAGCGCGCTGGGGAGGCGACGGCCGCGAACGTGTTTGAGGAGCGAGATTGGCCGCGCGAGGGTGCTGGGGATCTGGGGGTGGTTGTACGCGGGGGCGGTAGTCGTCTGTGCGCGAGTTGCGTTGAGGTGTTGCGGAGGATGGAAGCGAGGTGCATGCAGGATACTTGGAATCGCCTGCCTGAGATCGTTGGGGTGCCTCTTAAAGGTTGGGGGCGGAAATCGTTGAAAGGGGTGTAAGCACATTGTTTGTATGTTTGTTTGACGATATTCTCGGAGTGAATGGAGACTGAAAACCCCTTGAGCAGGTGCTTGAATGCGGTTCCCATGCGCATCTAAGCGTGGCATGTATGTATACGGGCAACGTGAGGCGCACGAGGCTTGCCGCGCGCAGGTTGCGGCTACCCAGCTCTGTTTACGCACCCACTGAGGGTCGCCTTGGAATGACTCTCATCGTCCACTTCTCGCTTAACACCATGACTTCTCCAGCTTTCATAACTGCCTGCAAGCGTAAGTAATGGAAATACTCTGCCAGTGTTGTCGTACGGGGCGCAACCTGCGAGATCTACCATGACTAGGTCACCTTCTATTCTCACAACCAATTCATGGCCTGCTCCGTCTCCGGCTCTACGGAGGCTAAGAGCGGACCCTCAGCCTCGGCCGCATCCCAGTGCTTTTCGCGGTCGTCGTCGGAATTCCCTCCGAGTCATACCCTAGAACATGGACGTGATCACGACGACGCATGGATTACTCCTCATTAAAGAACAGTGCGTTTGCTTCTCGAGGCTCTGCCCCCCCGCTGTTCAATCCGAGGACCCACGTAGACCTGCGGCGGAAGTACGCCAACGGGACGGTGGATCTGCGGGGCTGAAAGGAGGGAAGTTGTGGAGATGGATGCGCGGTGTCGACGTAGAATGGGCTTCTGGTAACAGCGTACGCGTGTCATGTTGTATCGCATCGGTGGCTTTGGTATACCCACCACGTTGACCCCAAGAATGCAGGTTCGTACGCAGTAAAAATGTGCCAGTTCCTCGCCGGCCGGATAATCAGTCTCAGTCGCAACGATCATTGCTTATACAATTGACCTCTCCTTTGGGCGCTGTTGTCATGCACATCTTCCATGCGTTCGAAACGCCAGGACTTCATCATAAATGGAGAGCGGCAGAAAGCCAGACGGCTTTCCCAACGCAAGACAGACCGCATGGAAGAAGAATACCCGCACCTTCTTTTTGCGCTCAGGCCGGAAGTATTGTCTACCGTATTTTGCATGTGGAGTGACAGACCCACGCTCGACACAATTCATTGCCCCCAGGGGGTCATATTTGGTACTATCGAGCGGGGACTCGGTGAGCAGCGTTAAGAGGATCATATACCCGGAAACCTTGCTATACATAGCCCAAGTTCTTGACCAACTGGGAGAGGGTTTAGGACATCAGTGCGAACAGGAGGGCTTGCTTGAATGTGCTCGATAGTTGGTGTAAATGATCGCCCCCTTATGACCACCTCGAAGCGGTCGAGTTAATCGAGCGTGAGGCCACTACCATGAGCCACTGAGTAGTCTTCTCAGGTATTCAAGGAGCTACTGCCAAGAGCGCGAAGATAGCCTTCTTGATTCGGGGTTCCTGAAGATCGCTCCGACGAAAAGCGGGATTTACAGTTTTCCAGGAGCGACTCCAAAAGTAGCTACCACGTTCTCCATGTGCTCATTCCCATCCCAGCGGAGATTTTCGTCCCACGCACACGCTACTATGATTTTCTGAGCACCTGCACAGTCTAGAATTCACGCCCTTCATTCATATCGGTTCCCAAACTGCTCCTTGTACCAAGAAATTCATTTGGGGACGGGAGAAAGTGTATAACAGGTCAAGGGTTGAGATGGAAAGCTGATATCAAGTTTGGGATGTATCAGTTGGGTTACCTCCACCGAGGTTTAGAAGAAGGGTGACAACGTGTACCATTAGCTTCTTCCCGACTCGGGTGAATGGAACCTGTGATATATGAGACTCTAATCTGAGAACGGAGAAACACAGTCTACAATGTCTACATGTGCTTCAATATCCTTATCTTGACCGTTCGGACCTTCAGGGTCATCAAGCCCGGAGGCACAGCGCCATTTGGATTCATAAGAACCCAAGGCTTAAAGGAGCCTTCCCTGTGCGACGACATGACCTCTTCCCCTGCTTCGTCACCTGCAGGTTTCATCCCAGAGATCGCTGTCGACAACACCCTAGGAGCCTGGCTCATTGGTACTTTCTCCAGTGTCTTGTTAGTACCACAGTTCCAACTTCTGGTGAAGATGACAATTCTCTAAGGAATTCCGACAGCCTTACTGGTATTACATACCTACAGGCTTACCAATACTGGCGCGCATTTCAGAAAGACCCAAGGCATCTGAAGACATGGGTGAGACGAGGTACTTAATTCTGTCTAGAGTGCGTTGAGGCTGATTTGAGGAACATGGCAGGTCGGCATAGTCGTGTGAGATGCACCTCACTCTTGCTCCTCCCCATTGTTCTGACAGTGCAGAGCACCTAGTATACTGGAGACGTGGACCGCTATCCTTGTGATGCATGCAAGGTAGCATATTTCTCCTCCTGACATAGACGACACGACTAACACTATCGCCCGATAGTTACTATTACGTAGTCACGCTTTTCTGGGATCCCGTGTTCGTGTTCACATCCCCACCAGTCTGGTGAGCGACACATTGCCATCCCATGTGTAGAAGTGTGTCTTGATCTGAGCTCTCATACCTCTATTCCATCCAGGTCTGCGCAGGTAAGAAGCCTGGAGCATCTCCCTTTATGATGCTGTACTTGAAATGTGTCATAAACAGCTTCTACCACTCGGGGGCGTAAGTCTCATCCTTCCCTGCACCGGTTAGGCGTAGCTCATGGTCACACGAATAGTTCCTCACAGGATCCGTATCCCAATGGTATTTCCCTGTTCAGACTGCATATCATGCCGAGGATGTCTGCTTATATGCATCTTTCACCCAGCTTTTTTGCTAGGCGGGTGTGGATTAGTGCGTTTTTGTTAGACCTTCGTCCTCGACGAGATATTCAAGGCAGTCAGTGTCTCGGAAGTTTCGTCCCATTGTGATTATGGCGGTAAGTATGACATACATTGCGAGTCTTAGAACCTGATCTTTTGAAGAGCTGGATAGATTCTCATGATGGCGGCGTACGGCGGTAGGCCATGACTCAGTGTTTTGGGTATGGTAACGATGCTAAAGCTCCAATACGAATCAGCGTTCTACACAGGTGAATTCAACACCTGGTAGGCGAGATGTACGGGAATACTCACACGATTTTGAGTACCAGCACTCTCGGTGAAATTGTTTGTACCCTCCCGTCACAACCCTATTGTTTCAATACTTGACCGGGTTCTTCTAGATTCAAAGCGCAGATTCTCCTTGAGCTGTTTGAGTTCTCTGTAGGTCTATCCCTCATATGAATCCCATATATACACCGGTTGATGTCGAGGGAATTTCTTTCGTTTTGCAGTGGCTCATAACAGCGGGATCCATCATTCAAATGACTGCAGACGTGACCACCACAGGCTCCCTCATCTACGTCTTACGCCATCTTCGGACTGGTTTCAACTCAAGGTCAGACATTTAGCTATCTTGAAGTCTCTGATAGATATGACTACGTCGTCTCATGCTCGTGTAGGACGGACTCCAAGCTTGATCTCCTGATTGCATATGCCTTCAGCACCGGTGAGCAGATACCTTGTGCTCCTAAGATTCCGATGCTCATTCCTATCCAGGTCTAGTCACTTGGTATTCGCGTATTTACTTCCTGCCCATGAGAGACTGACGTAGCCATCATAGTGTCTTTCACGTTCTCAATGTCATCGCCGTACGTGTGTTTCTCAGCATCCCAAGATATGTTGACTGAAGCGAGCACCAATGCTTCAAGTCAACTGTTTGGCCGCATAATCTTCTCTGGGTAACCCCTACCTGTATCCTAGTCAAGCGTAGGCCTTCGACTCAGTCTCGAAATTTGATTGGATGACGGCTGTTGACTAACCGTTGTCTGGGTATAGTGTATGCAAACAACCTCCTCACGGCGTCAGTAATATCTATAAATCGCCCTGGTGCTGTAACACTGATAAGCTTCTAGTCTGAACTCGCGCAGAGCTCTCGGAATCATGGACGATGAGGATGGGAGCACAGCATTTTCCTCGTCCAATCGGCAATCTACCGCGCGATTCACAAATCCAAGGGTAAGTCCGGGCTACTTCCCTCACCAAGAGTAGCTCTGATTTGTCACTAATGACAGCTGAGTCGAAGTGCTCGCGGGACAACGTCTCATCCGCCTATGGAGCTCAAGATTTTGCAACGTGCACCTTCCGGGGTGCATACCGATATGGAAAGCTCTGAGAAGCCTTCCATGACGATTTCCCCTGATGATCTCGTGAATGTGGCATGAATTACTCACCTGAGGGGTGCAGGATGTCGAGGGTTGTTGAGAAGTCATGGGCCAATAGATGACTTGTCAGAGTAGGACGTTATGTCTTAGTAGATAGAGTGATCAAGAATAGTGGTGTGCATGCACGATGTCCGACATGAATAGCTTACTGGACTCTTGAAGGACATGATTGAAGCTCGCATCGACCTGCTTACCCTCGGAAATTAAACGCCAGTAAACGCGCGACCTTTGACGGTGCCGTATAATTTCAGAGATCAGAAAGAACGGCCACCGATGATTCTTCCATCACTGGCATATTACTCGGATCCTCACAGCCTCGCCTACGAGTCCGAAGCCCTTCATGCTGCTCTCTTCGTCAGCACACGCTCGACACTTGCAATAGCTGAGAAACTTCTACCCGGCAGTTTGGACGCTCTTAAGCCAATGCGGCGCTTCCAATAGGCCGGCTTTACAGACAGGATTCTATGCACGCTATACTCGGGCAGGACGGAAAACGATGGTATTGGGCGCGCGCTACGGAAGCTGCGCGGGACCACCGAGTCCGTGTCGCCACCGCTCTCTCGCGCGACCGGTGGGCCGAGCTCAAGCCGGCGGAAGGCGAATGTACCTGATACATGAGACGTAGCTAAGCGAAACCAAAAATGGGGCAGCGGAAGGGCGGGTGCAAAAACGAAAGCTCGAGGAGCGCGAGCTCCCGAAGGGCGAGGGGACGAGGATCCTGGGCTGCGAGCCCTTAACCTATATACTACTAGAGACAAAGCAGATGTAAAGCGGCGAGGGGGTGGCACGAGTTACGCTGTCATAGACCCTGGACAATAATCATTGTCCAAAACAGCTACATGTATGTTTGGGCCTGTATTACTCAAGTACGTATCTCTTTTTCGAATAGGGTCCTAAGGTTTGAACGCAAGGATCTCCAGATAAATGTCAAGCGGCAGAGAGAGAGATTTCAAGGGCGCTACGGCCTTTCCACAGAATAGAACAGAAATGCATCCCAGATGGGGTTGGACCTGATCGTGCTTTTCATTTAGGTAGAGCGGCATTCCCTTTGAGGAAACATATGCAGTCAGCGCTACATATAAATGCAGGAGAAGCGTTCTTCGCAGACTCAACAGGCGACAAGCTGTCAGGTCGCTGATTACTGAGCGCTCCGTCTGACGATCGATCATGCAGGCCCAGGAACCTATGCTCGGCGCAGGTTCAGCCGGTCTACCAAAAGATACCGTCTCAGACGGCCACCATACCCTGGGAAGGTGGACGTTACCACCGTGCACACCACGTCGCGCAGGCAGCTCGATGCCACACACGGCTTCGCCACTTTACTAAACGCGGGGTAGAGGGGGATCCATTCCTGTGCGCTCCAGTGAGTAGCTTGGACGCTCCATTGGGCTCACGAGTGTTGTCAGTCTGCCGGAGAGCGAGTCAAGGGAGCCCCATTCCTCGTCTCCGGGAGTGCAGTCGAGGGAGATTCCGTCCTCCCATAGTCCTTGAGCTGCAAAGGGCGTTGCTCACCCATTGCTATCACGTCTCGCGCACGGCACCAGAATGGCTGCGAAGGGGTCGAGGGAGCCCCACCTCCCTGAGACGTCTGTCTGTTGTCTGCTGAGCCGGGGTTAGGCACTGAGAAAGGCGACTTCGTCATCCTCCGTCTACTCGGAGGTTGTGCGGAGGGAGATGGGGAAGCGTTGCGTCGATGGGCAATCGATTGGGTAGGAAGACCGCTGCGCAGCGCGTTTGAAGGTGTCGAGGGAGACCCACCCTGCTGTGCCTCTCGACGTGCTGCAACGCTTGCATGACTGCGGCCGCCCAGGAACGTGAGCCGGAGAATGCTTGCAAAGGGCCCGAGGAGCCTGGCTCCCTCTTCTCGCTTCGCCTCTTGATTGGTAGGCTTGGAAACATGTAGATGGGGCTCATTCCATGCCAGTTAAGTTTTGTGCTGAGCGTTGTCGCCAAGATCCCTTCGCGCGATCTAGTCTCGCTATGACACATCGACGTACGAGATGGACGACGAACCTTCGTGTGCCTTCCTCGGCTCTGATATCAGAAATTGACATGACGCGTGTGCTTCTGGAAGAACGACGCACCATACATGACACAAAGCAGCCGCAAGACGAAAATCCGAAGCCTTATCAGTCGTGGTCTCCGATGCGGAGTATGCCTGTTGAGGGCTGAGAGGTACACGCTCGGACAGAAACGCTTTATTGAGACCTTCGATGGAAGAATCGCCGGAATCGGTCTCAGAGCTGCAAGAGATGAGCGAGGAAACCAGCACAGCGTGTGCAACGCGGTCTCAGAAAAGCGATGGGATCGATGCAGGGGTATTGAAAGGTTTGCCAGTGGCCGTTTCATCGGAGTATACGGGACCGACACAGGCGACATAGTCGAACCAGCCGTATGGGTGAGCGATGTGTATCTGAAGGGAGAACTTCCTGCTTACTTACCTTTCTATCCCTCTCGTTGCCTGCTAGCTTGACGTGTTGGAGATTCTCTGACGCGGCACTACGCTACTAAACCCTCGATTGTGGGATGGGTCGCGGGTAAGGCAAGGTCAGGACTCAGTAACCACACATACGGACGGACCCTTCTCTCAGTCTGATTCTGATTCTATTCTAGCCGGGCACCGAGAATAACTTTTCCACTCTTTACCAACCCGTTGCAACGCCACATTTATCATGGTTCCACGATTCCACGCACTGTATGCCAAGGAATATTCACGTCGTCCTCAAAACTAGGGTCTCTCCTAGACGTGAAAGTCTGCGCTATGACCTAAACATCTAGAGAAGAACAGCATAAGCACGAGGTAAATATCTGATATCACAGGGTACAAAGGAAGGGGACGGCAAGCTCAGATGCTTCTGCATCCGAAGGTATAGAACGAAGTTCGATTGTGTTTACAACTGCAGATGCTGCTAGAGATTCTGGCTCCCAAGAATGGTTCGAGACAATCAGCGAGCGCAACGAGAGGAAAGCTCGGAGTCGGAGCAGCAGAGCAACCGCGGGGCGGCTGGGTCCGAAAGTCGCATCCTCGTGGCAGTTACGGGCACGTGGCAAATGTCACACTGCCCGGCAACCCGCGCTCCTGCCGAGCGCTGAGTCACGCCAATTGCACTCCGAGTCGGATACCACTCATCTGCTTGCGATGACCACAGCGCTTCAAGCGCTTGGACATGTCTCTTGGTACATTCTCATACACCTACTAGAGTGCAATCCCTCGTACACCGAGAGACTAGACTAGATCAACCAGCAAACACTCCCACCGGTCGTGCTAGCACTATCTGACTTCAGGCGCAGCCTGAGACGTGCTGTACTGTACCCACAGAGCCTTTCTTCGAGTAAGTTACACCCTTTGTTCTTTCCCAGATTCCAACTGAACTCCTGAAGAATACGGGCTGGAGAGGATGCGTGGATCTCGAAGCCAGCCGTGCGCAAACTGTGTTGAGGTCCGCTGGAGGGCGGAAGATTATTCTGCGCAGGGTCTATGTGGATTCCGGCAAAGGTCAGGTGCAGAAACCGCTGAGCGAGAGGTAGGAACCTCATCAGTAAGATTCTTCATGATGTTTGAATGTCTGGAGACTGACGGATAGTTATGCAGGTGTGTGTATAGGGTGTCAAGATGTCTCCACGTGCATGACGTATCTGGGAAATTGCACGACGCATGACGTTCGCGGCAACAAGCTTACGGCTACCGCAGCAGCGCAGCTTACATTGGGCCATCTAACATCTCCCTGGTCCCCGTTATCGATTCGCCACATCGCACAGCTTCAACTGTCGATCTGCACGATGGCCTCTCCAGCACCCTCCGCATCTCCTTCCTCCCCTGACAACGACGTCTACACAGTCGTCGTGCGAGGCGAGACCTTCGAGCTCTACCATGACCAGATCACGTTTGACTCCCCGAACTACTTCACGACCTGCTTCCTCTCCGGCTTCGCCGAGGCGAAAGATAGAACCCTCCGCCTCAGCCGCCATCCAACACTCTTCGCGATCATTGTCGAGTATCTCAGCGGCTACCCGATTCTGCCGCTCTCGTCGCAGGCCGTACCTCCGAAAATGGACCTCGCGAACGCACATCGATGCCTCCTCTCAGACGCGCAGTACTATGGCTTGCAGAGGCTCTGCGCTCTCCTGACGAAGCCGACGTTAGATATGGATCTCGGGTGGATCGGATACGCCAACGAGGTGGTGGACTTGCGTGACGTAATAAGGGGGAAGCTGCCCGTGGGGATCGTAAGGCGTGAGGATGGCAGCGTTGTGTCGGCGCACAATGGACTTCCTGTCATTGCCTATGCACGGGATGTCGTGTTCACGTACGCCTCCCTTCCCGCCCAACGTCAGCTCGGTGCTCACATGATCCCTATATCTTCGTCTGTACCATGCTGGCGAATCCTAAAGATAACTACGAACTGGACAGGACGCAGCGATCCTTGCTAATCAAACTTTCCTATCCTCCTGGCACTACTGTCTTACATCTATCCCATTCGGTTGAGATCCCACGCATCCCCGCTGAGTCCAGAAGACCCGTAGTTGGGCGTCAGAATAGCTATCTCCAGCGCGAGACATACTGGAACGCTGAAGGAACGTCGACAATCCGGGAGCATAGCCGCGTCCATGTCGATGGCGAAGTTGTGGAATGGGGAAGCATACTGTACACTCTTTTCGATAGCGAAGTCGATTCTCCCCCGAAACCAGTGTATGACTATCCAAAGCACCGCCACGGAAGTATCTACAAAATCCCGCATCCACACTGGCGGACACCATACGACCTCGGGACGCGCATCCGGAGGACCGCCAATGCTGACGGGCGCCAGTATGAGCATTGGTCATTCGTGCTGTGGGGCGACGAGGTACTCTGTCGCGTCGTTGCTCCATTGCAGTCGAACTCGCCTGTGCCCGCCGGCGCGTCAGTTGAGCTGCTAAGGGCAAAGTTGAGGACGAGGGACAGGGCACTAGATACGTTTCAGCTGGAGGTGCCTGCTGAACAGCTCGGTGAGTAGATTCGCGAGCTGTGATGTCATGGTGCAGTGGATGATTGACGTGATGCTCAGAAAGTGATTCCGTTGCATCAGCGTAACGACTCGGAGGCCGCTAGGCGCGAATGGCATCCAAGGTACTGATTTCTCGCCCATGTTCAGCGACGTTTCATGTTGAGTACGCTCTACAATCAATACTGTTTTCTCGCATGGTACCGCAGCACCGACGCGGGTGACCGGTCGACTTCAAGCACATCGGATACGAGGAACCGATCTCCCATGCGTCTGTTGTTGACAACTGGCTTCCCAATATTCGCCTCATGTCAAGCCGCCGCATTGCCGTCGGCCAATGGCTGTGGAGAAGTTTACATCGCTGTGGCGTGCCCCCGCGAGTCTTTCCGGCTGAATGTTCCTTAAATCCACTTCGGCTCCTCAGCTTCTGAAACTGCTTCTCCTCAGGCTTCCCGGATGCGGACATACGCATGCTTTGGCCTCGCAATCGCAACCAGACGACGTTGACAATAAAACAGTACAGTGCAGTGAGGAGGAAGGGAGGAAGAGACGACGCGCGGCCCTCGAAGTGCCTCAATTCTACCAAAGCTCCTAAGGAGCTGAGCTCTGAGTGTCCGGCATGTCAGAAGCGAGCGAAGCGTGGTGGCAGGACGGAGCCGAACGCATCCTGGAACGACGACGAGCTACATCTCAATGTGCGATCATCGTTGATCGCCTCGATCGCCTTTAGGTGCATTATCCTTCCTATTGCCGCACAGTCGCCCCCCTACCACATGGACAACGCCACGCTGTCGCGGTACGTACTACCTGAGCGCCGCCGGTTTCGCGCTTTTGCGAGCAGCAATGGTTGAGACTAGCGGTTGACGGGTTTCGTGCCTCCCGTTGACCCTCAGTGGACAAAATACACGAGCGGGAGATCTTGAGTGGTACCGTACCAGAAGGGAATACTGAGGCGACAGGATGGGTCCATCGAATGAGAAAATAGTGGCATTCCCGTGCTGGCAAGTCCCGGATCACATCTGGTGATCAACTGTGTTGTACGCCTTATGTGGATATATGCACTTGCTTATACATTACGGCTATGCAAGGTTCTCGTTCTGTCGAGACGTGGGAGCTGGTGGTAGTCAGAATCGCATGGTTTTACACACATCCAATCTCGTTACTGTAGTAGAAACGCTTGGATCATCTAACGTGGGTAGACACCTTCCTCTCTCTTGATGGAACTTCCTTGATTAATGCAAACTAACTGGTCTTTGGCACGGCGAAGCAGGACCAATATTGGCATCAAAGTGATGTCTGGGAGCGGCGTGAACCGTCTTGGGCATTTATTGCACACAAGGAAGCTACACCTGAGACCTTGAAGATGGGCCGCCAGAGAACATGACACGGTGCGTTGTCATATCCTCTATCGCGTCAATATCATTCGCCATGGTCCTCCTTCGTGAGGTTCGCCGTTGCGTCTCTCGCATGTGATGTGATAGCATGTTCCCGTTCATATAGCCATTAGTTCGAGCACATTGCATATAGGTCAGGAAACATGCGTCATGCCATCACAGGGAATGGTCTCTCTGAGAGCGTAGTGTATATATCATCGAGCGCGAACGCCCTCTCCCGACATCTGACAATGCTTCCCTAGGTCGATGGTTCAACGCTTCCCCTGTCATCGGCACTCTGGGGACAAGGAAGCCTAGTGATCCAAACAGAAGGACTTCTATCGCGAATGATACTGGATGTCTGTAGCATAAATCTGTGTATTTCAAGAAGACCCCGACCTGTATGTGGACTGACACCGCCTCGTACTCGACCCAATGGACCTATCAGTGGCTTATACTGACGCAGTGATAATGGTCACCTTCGAGAACTGGAATTCGTGTCAAAATGTAGATTCCTGCTGGGATTCTGTCCGAGGAGTATTCGCTCTCGACAGTTAATTACCTGTTATCAGGCACTTCGACATCTATGGGATTCTTGCGCAGTAGGAATGGCACAGAAGCCAAAATCTCTGTCTACGGTGTTTTGATAGCATATTGAGTCAGAGGCATGGGGTCTCAGGGCTATTTCAGGGAGGCCACAGCCTCGTAACTATGTTTCATTGAAGCCAAGCTCATGCGCTGACTGCCCTCTACCTGGCTATCACATATTGAAAAGCTACATAAGACCCCATCCTGCGCAGCGGTCTCCCACGTTTCCCGCTCAAGCGACGTCCTTCCTACAGAATTATTCCGTACGACCCAATGTCAGCTTCCGCCCCTCCCGATCTCTTGCTCCCGCAACCTGCTGTGGACAATACCGTAGGAGCATGGATAATCGGTGCTTTCTGCAGTGTGTCGTGAGTCTTGGTGCTTCACTTCCAATATGCCCCACATCTGACCGGGGAAATCAGTCTGAGTGGTGTTGCCTACTTGCAAGCATACCGATACTGGCAGTCTTTCCCAAGAGATCCAAAGCTTATGAAGATTTGGGTGCGAAGAAATACACATGCCCCAACTCACTGCGCAACCCACTGACCCTGAATCATTGCACAACAAACTGACCCGATGATTCAGGTTGGAACTGTGATGTGAATCATCGGCTGCTTTCCCTTTTTTCCCGTCACTAAGCTTTGCGTTGTAGCACGCTGGAGACATTGTCGACCACTCTAGTTTTGCACACCAGGTAAGCTTGAATCTCTGCTTCCGTTCGTCCATTGCTCATGCTATTACTCAATAGCTATTATTACATTGTGACCCATTACTGGAATCCCCTCTTCCTATTTCTCGCTCCACCTGTCTGGTAAGCACCATCGTGCTCCCTTCTCTTCAACTCTTAGCGCTCTGACCAATAGTCGGCCACAAGGTCTATCAAGGTATAAGCTCATAACTTGTGGCGATAATGTCGAATCTGACCTATTACAAAGATTTTTCCAGTCGTCGGAGTACGTCTGACATCATTCAATTTGACAGATGTTTGTACTCATGCTCATTCATTCCCTAACAGTTTGTCACAGGAATGGTGTGTCAATGGTCTGTGGGTTCTGTATAGCCTTAAGCGGCGAAGCTGTTTCCTAACAGTTATATCTGTGTTCAGCTTTTTTGCTAGGCGGGTGTGGATGAGTATGCTCTCCCCACATTTGCTGTCATACGAGACTCAGAGCTATGTTAGTGTCGAATAAATTTCGGCCTGTAGTAGTTGCAGTGGCGAGTATATTTTCTACATCATCTTGTCCTAAGCGCTCTCCTTGATAATTGAACGGACAGGCCTTGTTGATTATGGGATATGGCGGTGATACAGGACTTCTATATCATGCTACAACAGGAGCTAACTTGACCCACTCATTCAGGGTGCTACATTGGTGGGTCCATACGCAACTAGGTGATACTGAAACTCATCGCCGTGCTGGTCAACGATCTGCTAGCAATCTCTGTGAAATTGTTGGTGTGCAACTTCATTGTCATGTTTCTGCTTTCTCACACGAGATGCTCGTAGGTCCCGGGCTCTGGCTCTACTGGAGATACTGGATCTTCCTGTACGACGGCTTCTACATATGTGTTACCTCCCTAGATACTTAGCAATGTATGGTTCGGCAGTGGCTAATCCCCGCTTGCTCGACCATCCAGATGGGGGCAGATGCCTCTATCACGGGCTCTCTTGTCTACATTCTGGGTCATCTCCGCACGGGATTCAAAAGGTTGTGGACGCCCAACTACTTCTATGCGAATTTTACATACTGATCAAATTGTACGGTACAGGACAGACGCTACACTTGATCTTCTCATCGCATATGCACTCAGCACAGGTGAGCGCATTGCTGATGCAAAAGGATAGTCCGGTCTCATCTCCACCCAGGTCTCATCACTTGGTATCTTGCATACATATAGCATCGTCGGTAAGAAGCTGACATGGTTGTCGTAGCATGTTTCACATAGTGAACGTCATAGCTGTGAGCACTCCACTCCATGTGCTAGCATTCATCAGTTCACAGTAGGCATCGTGGCTCGTAGTCAATCGTCTGGCAACATAACCTCATTTGGATTGTGCCCGTAGTTATCCTCTTCAAACGTAGGTCTTCGATTCGCTAGCCGGTGACCAGGACTTGTGACTGATCATCGCACCTGTCATAGTATATGCGAACAACTTTCTTGTTGCGTGAGTATCACTGGAGTCGCGTATTTAAGCAGTACAACTTATCATAGTTTAGGTTGAACTCGCGCAAGGCTCTCGGATTCATGACAGACGAGGATGAAAGCGAAGCAACCTCCTCGCGGGGCGGGCTTGCTCTCGTAAATGTATCCACGCCAGGCCTAGTACGCTCCCATCTTCGTTGACATCGAGGGGAGTTGACCGAACTCATCATATAGTGGCACGGGAACTTGGATGGACGTGGGACACATCGCCTGCCTGTTGTGCCGCTCAGAAATTTCCAGCACACGACTTCTGAGATGCATTCAGACTCGGTTGATCTGGACGTCAAAGCCGCATCGACGTCGAACGACGTTCTACACATTGCATAATTCCCTGGGTGTAGCATAGGGGGTCACTATTCGTGCACCTGGTGCTAGTAGATCGTTATTTAGGTCCGTTTCAAGCTCTGAGAAATTGAAAGTCGCATGTAAGATTAGGTATGAACGAAGCACAGCGGTGCCCCTCATTCTCCTCGCTGCAACGTTGTGCTGCTCGCCCTCCGCCTTCACCCATTGCACAGTAACGGCTGCAAAGGAGTTCATCACCCCAGGCCAGATTTCGTGGTCCGTCTGTCGCACACCAAAATCGATACGGCCTCCGAGGGGGAGGCGACTTCGTTTTTATCGGTCCACTAGGGGTTGGTGTGTCGCCGAACGTGGAGAAAGCTCGCATCGACGAGCTATTGATACGGCAGTAGCATCGCTATCAAAGGCGTCGGGGGAGACCCAATGTTGTTTGGTCCTCCCAGCTACGCCGCTCGTGTGGCCGCTGACTGTAACGGGAAAAGGGGGTCGAGCATTTCGTCGCGCAATCTCGGCTGCAAAGCTGAACGCGTAAATTCGTCGACATCGAACAATGATAAGCGCCCTGATGGGCATGTCGACAATCGGTGGAACACCAGTCCCGCTCGTGCTGGAGACTGCGATGCCATATGGAAGCTGAGTGAAGGGACCTGTATAGATCCAGGTAAACGACTCGGAAATCAATGGGCACAGAGGAAGGGGTGGCACAGAATGCGCTAGGAAGCATTGCTGTCACCGCTTAGCGGCTTTCATCGCTTACTCGAAGCGTACCGGGGCTGAGGCTGAAGACATAGCTGAGCCTGTCATCTCAGTGAGCGGCACATGATAGGGGAGGGTGAAGCCCGATTGTTTACCTCTCGAGATATCATTCCGCGTTTTTCCTGTTGTATGATGAAGCAAGGCCAGGGCTATTGTGGACATCGGGGTGCGCGCAGCGGTAGGACTATACTTGCCGACGTAGGGAGAGAGCTCGAGCCAGACGGAATATTAGTCTCGGAGAGTCCAACCAAGGTTTTATGGCATACATAATCCGAATCCACGTCGCAACCCTCTATCGCTCAAATCACACGGACAAGGCTCGCTGCCTCGACATCCCCGTGACGAACGGATCCCATGCTCGCACTTCGCCAGGCCGTGGTGCGTCAACCAGCGAAGAGCGACCTCCGCGAGTGTAATCCATGCTTCTCTACAAGTTCGGTGGCCTGGATCTTGGCAAACGCGCGGAAGTTGAGTTTGATCCGACACCGACGGCCTTGCGACCTGGCCTGGGGCGTGTTCCGACAGGCACACCAGACCACCCCAGTGTTGTCCTGTGGGGAAGGGTAGCCGCCTGTGAAGAAGCCCCCTCCCGCTACGCGCGCTGTTGCAGATCCTGTCAGCCCAGCATCTCGCCGTGCTCTTTGCGTACAAGGAGGAGATGCGGACGCACTGTATTGCCGTGTCCCTGGTCTGGAATCTACCACGATAGTCACGTATTGGACGTCGTTGCATCAGCGGACTATTCGTGCGTTGATGTACCAGGAAATACTTACAGCGCTACTGTCCAGATAGTACGCTTAAGGTAGAGAACTCAGAGCGAAGCGCTATGAGCTACCATGTTGAAGGGTCGCCGGCAAGCAGCCAAAGACGACCGGAGATGTGATGATGCCCCAGTAGGGGAATGGAGAGGTGAAGGAGAAACGCTCACTGAATAGGCGAATATGACGAGCTTGGCAGACGTATTGGCATTTCCCTGTATGGGAAGGGTCCGGAGCAACGCACAATGAAGCAGCAAGACACGTCTTGAGGTAATATCCTATCACACCATCTCAATTCCGAGAAGTCCAGCTAAGGACGGAGCTAGTTCGTGATAGAACTCTTCATGCTGCTTCGTCCGCCCGTTCCTCGCCTTTGCATCTCCACCTCTTCCTCAGTAACAGTTTCGGATACGTACACAACCTCAAGAATACGGGGACTCAATTCGCACCTCTCAGGCACCGCGTCACCGCGGTGTCCCCTCTCATATCGCACCCGAGCTGCCGCGGGATGACAGGATCTCAATACTTGCGGTAGTGTCCCTGCCCCAACGTGTATCCGATATTGAAGGATGAATGAGTGGTATTGTGGACTGTCAGGGGAGGAGAGCAAGGGTGTCCGAGGAGGGTGGCAGATATCGCAGGGAAGATATGGGATGCGAGGTTGGCTGATGAAGCGGACCCACGAGATGCGGTGTTGCAGATGCTGCCAGAGATGCTAGCTCCCGACTGGAGTCCAAGGATGAGAGAGCAGCGCAGATACGACCTGAGCAACATCACAGACGGCCGCAGAGGGTGGCATTGGCAGCTGCGAGATCGGAGGCGGTCGACTCGGACGCCTCACCGGCCCGGTCTGTCCCCGCCCATAACGGCCACGACCACATGGCGTTATGTCACGCTATCTGAAGCGCCTGAAATTCGAGGATTCGTGCCAGGCCGTGAGACCATAGCATTGATTGCTTACCCCTCCTCTCGAGATATGAGTGCTTGTGCTCTGAGCGTTCCTCAAACATCTGGGTGGACACTGGCAGGTCAAGGCTCCCTGAACCTCCTCGTGGATTGGCCCGTCATCCGGGACAGCTTGAGCTCAACTTCTCGCAACGGCGATATTGACATTAACAGACCAGATTCTTAGGATTTTGGACGCTTTGTGACTGCGGGTGCGTCCCAGCGGGGGGCATGTGCTCACACGGCCTTTTGACTCATTACGTTCCCCAGACCATGGTCCTCGCATGCGTCGCTAAAGCTTGGACAGCCATCTCCGCATGCATTGGGCAGGCAAACAAGTACTAGGTCGACCACGTCCTCGATGCATGGGTGGACTACCTCCACGACGTCTCCCCGTGCGACCTCGACGCTCACCTCTGTTCCATGCCCCGCAGCCCTGCCTGTACCCGAACATGCTTGCGCTATTGGTATGAACCGTTCGCACTTCTCCCCGACGGCCGCATATGGCGTTCTCTAGAGCCTCAAACACCATGAAGGTTAGGGTGAGCATTCTAGGTTCGCAGCTCGCATCAACGTTTGGCACGGAGTCGGTACTCAAGAGACGCCCCCCTCGCTCAAGCTCGCCCTATGTTGCACACGAAGGTCCCCCTCGCTCAAGAGCCTATCCTGCACGATTCCCCAGCTCTCCCCGAGCCTTTCTTTGGCGCACGTCGCGGTTGCGGTGACAGGCGTGCACCGGGGAGACGACAGCTGCAAGTTTGTTCGAGGAGCAGGAGATTGGGGGCAGAGGCAGACTCTTTGCTGATTTAGCCTCTGTGCGAAACTGGCGGAGGAGATGCAGCTCATGCGTTTCAGGTGAGTCTGTCCCGCGACACGCGATTTGTGACATATTGAAACTGACACGAAGCTGAGAAGATATATGTTGCGTTTGAAATGCTCCGCTCGAGTCCAAGGGCACCACAGGATAAGAAGGTTACACGACGCCTGCTACCGCGGCTCAAGTCGCTCGGTGCGCACCACTATATGCTCATGCGTCCTTCGTCACTGCGCAAGCTACCCTCCTCTCGTTCTGCATCATCTCGACCTATCCGACGCCCTCCGTATTGTCTTCTGCTCCACTCGGCGGTATCCACACCATCGTCATGCGGCGCGAAACCTTTGAACCCTGCCATTATCAGACCCTCCCCACCACCCGCAACTCCGTGCTCTTTGCAATCATTGTCGAATATCTACTCAAACTCGCCGCTCTTGTCTCAGGCCGTGCACTCGACAATGGACCTCGCGATCGCCAAGCGAAGTCTCCTCGCGGCTGCGCGATATGGACTGGGGACGCCATCGAGACGGCGGACCTACACGACGTGGTAAGAGGGAAACTGCCGGAGGGGATCGAGGCGCGAGGATGGCAGCGTTGCGTCGGCGCAGAAAGGCCTCCCTGTCTTCGCTTACGCGCGTGATGTCGTATTCACGTATGTCCATACTTGCCTTAATATATACAGCACACTGACATGACGACTCCAGATTCATATGCAGTACACTTATGCCAGTTCCTGGAGAGACGGAGGGCATGTCGCAATCATCTGTGTTGGTACAGCTCTCCTATCCTTCTCGAGCTCCTGCTATATCCATCTCATCCAACCGATGCGCCAGGATTCCGAACGAGTCAAGAGATCCTGAATGCAGACGTAACGATAGTTTCTTCGAAAAAAGACATACTGGAGGGCGGACGGAAGCCTAAAAAATTCAAGAGCATAGCCGGGGTGAGTAGGTCTGCGAGCGGGGATTTTCTGGTGAAACGGATGATTGACGTGGTGCTCAGAGATGCTCCCGTCCCATCCGTGTACCGAGGCCTCTCGGCGCGGATGGCATGTAGTATACCACTCTACGGCCCATATTCAGCGACGTGTGATGTTGAACATGCTCCACGTTGGATACCGTTCTGTCGCATACTACTGTAGCATCAACGTGGGCGGGCGCTCGTTGCCGACTGTTCAGCTCATTGAGCCCCCGCCGCCGCGGCCAATTAGGGGCTCTCGACAGGGTGATCATGCGGAAGTGCAGGTAGCTTACGAGTACCATGCTCGCAACATCTTCTCTATCGCCATTATAGGCTCGCGCTCTATGACCAGAATAATTACGAGCAGTCAGGTCTTCCATGGCGTACCTACCAACCCTTTGTTCTTGCCCTTAGTCGCAAGCAACTGGTTTCCGAAAGCTACGTATCCTACGTATCAATCATCCCACTGCGCCTTTGTGATCTGACTCCCCGGTAGGCCCCTGGATAACGCGAAGTCCTCTGTTCGCCTCTCGCACTCGGAAGAACATCTCTCAAAGCTCGAGACCGTTGGCTGATGAATGTGGCATCGCGACATCGAGTTCATATCCCAGTTTATAGCAAAATAATCCGAGTCCATCGCGTCGGCATTGTTCTCTGCGGTGTTTTTCACAAGTTCTATTATTGCCTTGCTCGCAGATCTCGGCATATTCCCATGTATGATCGAGCATATCATCCTTCTTGCATTCTGACTGCTCGCAACAGTCTCCTGATCCTTCGCCACAGCTTCGCTCGAATCTTATTGTGTGCGTTGCACCAGATGAGGGAACACGCGGCAGATAGCCTCAGGCGTTCTTGTTCCTGATCACCGTAGTGCGGATACCGTTAAGGGTGCTAATGAGCACCGCTTCATCTCGACAATGCCAGATGCTTCTCTAGAACGTCGGCTGACGCTTGGGGGCTGGATGCTCTCAAGAGAAGGGCCACTCCATGATTGTATCACAGCTCTTGATGAACAGGCTGCGATGCTTTGGTTCTCAGATGCTGAAATCCACGAGCATCCTCTTCACTCCTTCTCACACTTACTACTGTCGAAGCCATGATGGCATCCTGGATCGGTGGTGTTGACCTTTCCCCCTCATCACGATCATCATCTCACGGGCTCGACCAGGGGAGCATACTTACACATTAGCTTCATTCCCTCCGTTCTCGAATTATATCGTCTCATAGGGCTCCGATCGTATCTCAGTCCCAGTATGAATGCAGGTACTAGACGCGGATTACCAGAGCGCGATTCTCATCATTGTCAATCTGTCATCGTGCGTGCTTCTATTTAATCCACGCTTTTCCAGGTCGCAGCTGTCATTTCGGTATTATAATTCTATTAATATACTAGAATGGACACGCTGTGTGCTAAGGGACGCTTGAATCCTATTCCTGTACTGAAGCTCGGATAGCATTGGAAGTCCCAGTGGCGCAAAAGATGTCCGCTCTGATGAATCCTGTGATGTAGGGATTCACATTCCGATTTTCCTCAGTATGAGCGGCCTAGGCCTCTCGGGATGGTATTTTACTTATAAATTGTCCTTGTGTGATACCTGTTGGGCTACGCCGAGGTGTCAGTACAGTATCAATTGCAAGTTAACTACGTGAATGACCAGCATATAGGTCGAAATCACATCACTCGTCGTGCATGCTCACGTCACCAGAATACTTCAGACGTTCTGTCTCGACATAATACCGGTGCATTCGCACGCCATCACTTGAACTGATCTCTATCAAGTCAATTCATTTCTCTGTGGTTCACACCGCTTGGGATGTCAAGAGTATCAAACAAGACGCAGGTCTCCCAGCTGTACAAATTTATTTGGAAGGTAACGAATCTTGTACCTGGATGCCTCATGCCGGCGGGGCATAGAGCGCACATAGGGATCCCCCTGTGATGCCAGGAACTGGGTGCAGCGGGAATACGACATGGTCGATGGTCGAGAACTTCTGAGTGATGGTGTAGAAGCTACACTCCTTGATTGTAGGTAGTAGATGCGATGGGTAGTGGCCTATCTGCGCCAGTCAATGGGCAGAATTCCGGGATCTGATTTCCACTGTCAAGCTGTCCTATTCTCCTTAACTCCAATTCGATGAAGAAAGAACTGCATGCTATCACGGTAATATTACCCACCAGGCTACATAAGACCCGGTCCGTGTTCAAGCACTGCGTGTCCAGAGCTTGGACGACGACCTTCCCAATGTCAGCCTCCAACCTGCCTAATTCCTTAGCGCTATCCCCCGAAATCCCTGTGGACAACACACTTGGTGCATGGCTTATCGGATCTTTTTGCAGTGTGTTGTGCGTCTCCGTACTCCAAGCCCCAGATGCGGCACAACTCATTTATAAGAGCACTGCAGTCTTAGCGGCATTACTTATTTGCAAGCATACCAATATTGGCGCAACTTTCCTGAAGACCCACGACTGATGAAGATATGGGTGAGGATACAATAGTAAATTCAATACTCTCATGTTGTGAGCTGATTAGTGTCTTAGGTCGGTGTTGTCATGTGAGTTTTGGCCCATATCCCCTTATCTAATCCGAGACTGAGTTTTGAGTCAGAGTGCTCGAGACGTTTACAACATTCATCGTACTCCACACCAGGTACATGACTGCTTTTTGCTGTTTATGTTCAATAAAGGTGTCGCAAAAGTTGATGTTGTCATTCATAAGCTACTACTACATCGTTGCTCACTACTGGAATCCACTGTTCTTATTCCTAGCCCCGCCCGTCTGGTGAGAGTTATGCCGCTCCTTTCTCTCCTTCCTTTTGAATGTGCAGGTCTCTACTGGTCGGCCAGGTCAACTCAGGTATGATCGCTCTATCTGCTATGGAAGCCTGGACTGATTCGAGGAAACAAGCTTCTACCTCTCGTCGGGGTAAGTGGCAGCCATGCAGCCCATTACCTTGACCGCTTACAGCCCTTTATTCTACAAAGTTCATAACCGGGATGACATGTCAATGGTGCGCACTTGCTGAGATCCTGAAACTGTAACAGCCTTCTCTAGAAATACCCTTGCATGCAGCTTCTTTGCTAGACGTGTATGGATGAGTACGTCCTCGCCAGAGTTTCCGCTCATGCAGAACTGACAATTTTCAGTGTCTAGGAAGTTCCGCCCGGTTGTCATTGCAGCGGCAAGTTGAACTGCTGTATAGTCTATTGTCCGAAGTCATGCGCTAACATTAACAAATGACAGGCTCTGATGATAGCGGGATATGGCGGTAATGAGGTCTCTATGTCCATGAATCGCGGAACCGCTTACATTGTATTGTAATCCATCTTAAGCATGCTACACTGGTAGGATATACCCTTTTACTCTGCAAGCATCAAACTCATAAGTCCCCGCGCCCATTGCTTCCAGTGATATCGGTGAAATTGTTCATATCATATGTCCCTATAGTCTTCGTCCCTCTGCTTTCTGATATGGGGACTTTCCAGGTTCAAGGCTCTTGCGCTGTTAGAGCTATTTAGTTTCTCCCTCCGTTCACCAAGTGAATTATCAGTGACATATCTACTTTCAGTGGCTGGTCTCTGCTGGCTCTGCTATTCAGATGGGTGCAGATCTCACTATCACCGGATCTCTCGTCTACATTCTGGGTCACTTCCGCACGGGATTCAAGAAGTGAAGAGCACTTCATTCATTGTATCACGGTATAACATGCTGATTCAGTGGTTTGATACAGAACTGACGCTAGACTCGATCTCCTCATCGCATATGCCCTCAGCACAGGTGAGCATATACTTTGTCCAAGTAGAGTGCATGTTCTCACCTGAATCCAGGCCTCGTTACTTGGTAGGCCGATCAGCTAGACCTTTTCAATAGCCTGCTGACATCTGCGTTGAAGCCTGTTTCATGTCTTGAACGTCATAGCGGTGAGCACATCACTCCACCCATGAGGCTACACCGGCTTATAACATCATAGTCGGCTGTGTGGCAACGTAACCTCATATGGATGGTGCCCACCTCCGTCCTGTTCAAATGTGTGTCTTCGATCTGTAGCTATTCTAAGGGACCACGCACTGACCACTGCCTCTAACGTAGTATACGCGAACAATTTCCTCGTGGCGTGAGTCGAAGCTATGACTCACATTTGGAGAAGGACATCTAATGTGAACCTAGCTTGAATTCCCGCAAGGCCCTTGGAATCATGGGAGACGAGGATGAGAGAACCTCACACTCGTCCCATAATCAACATAACATGGGCAAGACAGCGGACTCCAGTGTATGTTTCCGGTGCTCATGACCAGAGCGAGCCTGATCTAACTAGTCACAATAGCGGAACGGAGGCATTGATGGTCGCGCAGCACAAACCGCCCCAGTGCAGCTCAGAATCATGCAGCATACCACCTCGGAGACACACATGGACTCGGTTGATCTGGAGACCAAGAGCAAGGGGTCACCCGACGATGTGGTGCACATTGTATGAGTCACTATGCGTGGCACAATATAGGCTACTGTGATTCCCCAGTGCGAGTGATTCCACGTATCGGACTCAGGCATCAGCAAAAATGTCCAATCGTTGCAACGCGGTTTGTATTGGCAATGTAAGGAGTGCTTGCATAGGATTTCATCATAGTGCTAGTCTTGGCGAGATGAGTGTTGCATTGGCGTTAGATATGAGAGCTTAATATTTGTGATCACTGTAGTATATAGAACCGTCATTGTAACTCATCAGATTGCACTGGAACACATAGGCATGACTGGTCAGGAATTCCAATGTGAGTAGGGTGTTCCATTGCCATTAGCATCATACACCTGGCCAAGTAGTGGTTCGGCAATGGGAGTCTGTAGCAGGCACACCGCCCGTAAATCCGGCACGATATCGCTCAGGAATGTATGCGAAAAATGATATGAATTAAGATGACTACAATGCAAAAATACATGGGACCGTCTTCCTAACTCGGATACCCTCGTGCCACACGCCCTTGGTTTTGCTGACGACCCACGCACGCTGTCCTCCACCCTCTTCCCCGTCTCGATTGCTGCGTTCGCAGGCGCTGGCAGGGTCAAGGGCAACACCGAGCACAAGATGCACGGAGCGGGGAGTACTGCGCGGTCTTGAAGACTGAGGTGTGGAGGAGGGGCGTTGCGTAGCCCAGGAGGGAGGTGGACGGTTTGGGTGCCAATGCAGCGGTAGCGTGGGAGCAGGGTACGGTGAGACAGGGAGAGTGAAGGGACAACGGAGAGGATGGGACGTACATGGAGGCGCTTGCTGGCCTCTGCGCAGGAAGGGCTGGGAGTTGACGGATGGTGGGGATACCGCCAGACGTACACCTGACCGGCGCAAGAGGCGAGACCCAGGGGCGCAACCGCACCCAAAGGCCGCAGGTTTATAGCCCGTTCCCTTGCCTTAAATGGCCGGGACTGGGCGGACGTCCGCAACGCACCTTTCCTGAGCCCTGCCCCCTTCCACACCATTTACGTACTCGAACGTCTCACTCTCGCCCCTGTCTGTACCCTGGCACATCCCCTTGCACCATCCCTCATCGACATCTCTCCCACCACACACCCTTAGATTGCATGAGCATCCTGCTCAACTATGTCCCGCCGACCTCCATCATCACCCAAGTAGACAACAATGTATTTACTGCCTACCATGAGGCTCAGCCTCGCAGGGCAATAAACGGGATCTAGAAGAAGAAGAAGAAGGGCTGGGAGTCGCATCCGAGCGTGAAGACAACGTCGACCACATGTCCGAGGTGTATCTCTGGCTGGCGAACTAGGCTGAGCGGCGCTGTGCAATGGCAGAAAACTCCCCAAGTTGCGAAGTTGCGCAGCTTGATATATGCGAAGCGCTTGAGGTATAGATCCGTGGATGTGATGCCTGACACCAATGTGAGGCTGGGGTTTGCTGTATGCGCTGAAACACAGATGTACTTACCTTACCGTTAGCGCGACTCGGAGTTCTTGATGGAACAGTACGAACCTCTGCTACAATGGAATCAAACGCGCTCTCCGCAGATTCCCAGATAGCGACAGTAGTCAAGGCCAAGTATAAGACATGAGTGACAAGCGACCAGTGGCGCGTGGGCGGCAGCGGCACCCATCATCCTCGCAGGATATGCACCGTGAAAGGCTTGAGCAGCCTCAGCACGAACCATAGCTGATAGAGAGTAGGCAGCACGACCGACTGTCCAAGGGCAGACACCGCCAAGTATGGTACAGTCAGTGTGAGGGTATACACGAGCATCGTAAGTATGAAGTTGGCCGTGCACATGAGACCAACCGAATGGAGTGCGAGGGTTAGTCTACTTACCGCTATAGCAAGCGAACCAGTCAGGTCCGCAATAGCGGGATTTCTTCGAGTAGGCGATAAGCTTGATGGTAGGAGAGGAAAGGAAAGGAGCAATGAGTGATTTGCGTGCTTGCTTGCGCTTATGAGGAAAAACCGACGAGCACGACAGGTCGCGAACGATGACCTCACATGTGCCGGAGTATTGAAGCTGGCCACGATCCGCTGCCTTGACCCTAACCCAACCCTCTTCTCCTCACCCTCCAGCCCATCTTCGGAGGCAAGGGACTTCAAAATCGCTTTCGATTGAGGCATCAAGAATCGATGACTTGAAGGGCAACGCAGTAGCGTCAGACACCATGCACTGGACAAGTTGCCATGGACTTGGGGGACCGCAGGAGACTTTGCTCATGCTGAGCACGCAAAACTGATGTGTGAGAAGCAAGGGATAGATCTGGCAGGATAGAGCTTTGAAACCGGTTGAAGCCCGCTCGGGGAGAGCGATCGACGACGAGAGACAGTACTTTGTAGCGGTGACGGGTGAGGTGTGCTGCGGGCGAAGGAGCGATCAGCGCCGTGGGTGGGCGGCAATTTGAGCGACAGAGGCATACAGTCTCACCCGTGCACATGTCATTCCCATTCTGTAAGTATGTCAAGCAATGGTCAATCTATAAGTTATATATGGCGAGTTTCTTGCAGGCAATGTCATTGCCATCAAAATCCCCGACGGCCTTATTATCGACTCGCCCCGCCAAGGTTTGCAATGGCGAGCTTATGCGTTCCAATTCCCTGCTTGCCAATTTTGGTGTTACCATTCCGGGCACGCGTTGCATTGCCACTGCCACGGTTCAGCACATTTGCTGATGCCGGGTTAGAGATTGGGCACGCACATTGAAACGGTGGATCGCGCATACCTCCATCTCTTGGAGGTGCATTCGTGAGAGGTGCTTGCAGTTATTGACCTGTATGTAGGCTACATTGATGTAAGACTTACGTCCGTGTGGTGATGAGCCTGAGCGATGGTGTCTGCATATGTCTTGCTTCAAGCTAAAAGTACCTCCTCAGTTCCAATCAACTTGTTCGTTTGGGGGATCTGAAGCCCAAAGTCCTGCTGTCTTTCCCAGTTTCCACCGGAGGAAGTGTTGGAGACGCAGTCATCCACTCTTCTCTCGTAGAGAAAGTGTGACGGCAACGTAGACATATGGGAGGTTGGCGTGCGTACGGATATCGTTTCGTTGATCGCGTTGTGCTCTTTCGTGCCGTCGTTGTTGTCCATACCTACGTGTTGATGGCCTTCTTTCCCATCTAGTACTCGTCTGAGGTATGCGTATGATCATACATGAGCTTCGATAGTTCCATGCCCACAAGCAATACGCTATGGAAGTCTGACGAAGATATATTCTGAGCGCTAGAGATATAACACAAACCAGAAGGTGACAGCTGCCTGCCCGATGGCCGTTCGACACTGCATCTCAACATCTCGAAAGATATGTTCTCCTGTGCTTAGGCACACCATATCTGCAAAAACTCGCCTACCGCGACAGCGAGTACAGCCATTCTCTCTCAGCGATCTTACGCACACCACAGTTCAGACACACCTCAAACGACCCGGATAAAGCAGAACCAAATTTAAAGTCGAGATTGGTACCGGATGAGATGGATAGGAGGAGCGATCACCTTCAATCCACTGAACCTTCCTAGGGCACGTCTAGAGCTGCCTGTGCACCACCCTACATATAGTATAGATTGAGCTGCCGACCGTTCTTTCCTGTCGCATTCGCATGCGTGCAAGCACGATAGTGACACGATCGTCAGTGAACGTCGCGAGTCGCTGCTCTTCGGGAGCGGCGATGCGCCCCTCCGCATACTCAACGGTATTGATCTCGTCAAGAGATCAAGCTGAAGATTGAGAACACGCACCTTCGACATCCTACGTCGGACGGTACAATAGCTCACCAAGCCACATCTTGCCGAAAGCGAGCCTCGCCCATCTGGCACGCATCCTCGCCCATTCTTGTCCCCGCTCGATTCTAGAGCTTTTGGACCACCGCTGCGAGTACTTGCTGCCCTAGCCTTCCTTCTGTCCCGTGCTCAACCCATCCATCGGTCCACTTACGCAGCTGCAATAGCACGTCCTCGTGTTCGTCTTAGCCTGCTGACGCGGAGGTTCGTGAAGCTGTCCACTGTATTTGGTCGGCCTCATGAAGACCCGATTGCATCCTGATTTCGAGAATTTGAGTGCAGTGTCGTTCGGCCATCCAACCCTTACAGCTCACGTTGCTAGCACGACAGCATGCTCTGCCACAGATAGACTCGATATTTCTTCACGATGAGACCTCTATGTGCGAGAGGGCGGCACCCGAGAGCCCGTGTTGGATGAGTAATGCTCACAAGACCTGAGCAGGCTTGCGTCGCTAGGAACTCTGAGCGACTCCGATGCACACGAGAGAAGGCGGGGTAATAGTCAAAAGGCAGGGCATAGAGATCCAGAGGCGAAAGGATCAGATAGAGAGAGGAAGAGTTAGGTCGGAGAACGCAGTATGAGCGTCGCCCGGCGGGCGCAAGAATTCGATGTGTCTTACCGTGGGGAGCATCGTCGGGGAAGAATCGGAGCGTTACGACTTCATCGGAGAATGTCGGGTTCAGCTCTGTTTCGGCGCTTATGCCATGCAGACTCTTGCGACTCGTTCGGGCTCATTCTGCTCTGGTTTCTATACTTGTATAACAAAATGACTGAAACATAAGCATTTCACGCACTGCTGAGTATCGGTTCAGCTCACCAGTGGCGTGCCTTAGTGTAGACTGCGACCTTCGCATCGATCCTTGCTCATAAATAGCCATCCACGGCGCTACAAGCGGTTCATCTGCATCCGCCGCTGCGCACGAGGCGTGGGATCAAGTCACCGGTTCGTAGACTCCTGTTGAAATTACAGGCCGTTGCTTATCAACTGAACTTTGCTAGGAGTTCCACCTACGTCAGCATCACAGGTATCAATACAATGCTGTATCCGACGTCTCCTATGGCGGGGGCTCGTCATGCAACAACAGTGCGCCTACAGGTAGAGCAGCCTCGTCCATGCTCACGACATTTCTGTTCTAATAGTACGGAGAAAGTCCACCATATAGTTATAGTCACATATTCTTCTTGACTTCCCGTGGCGATTTTATAGTATTTCACCTCCGAGCATCGTGCGGACGACCAGACTGCGGTCCGTCAAGCCCGTGGCGTGGGCAACTGCGCACTTGATAGTCCGGGTGCGCTTGCATTTCTCCTAATACACTTCGCTCCTCCTCGAACCAAGAGTCTTAGAAATGTCCTCCTGGCTTCCCATCCACCGCAAAGAAGGCTCTCCACGGATATTATGGCACAGACCGCCCAAGATCAGCCGAACGATGCTATGGCTAATGCTAGCTGCCACATTCGTCGTGAGCATTCCTCCAGATCTATACCTAGCTTCTGCAGCTTATTCAATTCACTCTCTATTTCCGGACGTAGTTTTCCCTGCATACCTTGCTCCGACATTGGCAGCCGGAGTATGCGCGTTTGACCTCAGTGTCTAACTACGGTATGCACGTCCAGCCGCCGCTACCCAATCCCACTGTCTCCTCGTCGGACTCCGTTCCTCAGCCCGCATCCAGCGAACCGTTCGCCGAGTATCAAATGGGAACGAACACTACACACAGAGCCAATGCTGTTCTCCTTATGCTCGTGCGCAACTCGGAGCTAGAAGGCGCATTATCCAGCGTAATGCAGCTGGAAGAACGTTTCAACAGGCGCTTTGGTTACCCCTGGGTATTCCTGAACGACGTCCCGTTCACCGACGATTTCATGCAGTAAGTCTTGGTTGAATATGTGGGTGACATCAGATGAGCTATACCGGACATAATAGGAAGATGAGCGGTGCCATCGCTGGACCCGTCTCTTATGGACTTATCCCGAGGGAGCATTGGTTGCAGCCGGACTGGATAGACGAAGAGAGAGCTGCAGCGAACAGAGCTCAGATGGTAGCTGACAATGTCGTATATGGAGGTGAGTTAGCTTTCAAATGTCATATGTTCAACCGAAGTCATTGTCGGCGACAACTACAGAAAGCGTGTCGTGAGTCTCCCCCATGTGCATTCTCCGTACTCCGTGCTTAACTCTGAAAATAGCTATCGTAACATGTGCCGCTTCAATTCCGGAGTGAGAGTCCCCGTCCGTCTCGGTCTTGTCTATGCTCTCTGACTAGCGACAGTTCTTCTACAGACATCCCCTCGTACGAAACTACAAATGGTACTGGCGAGTCGAGTACGTCCTCCTAGCCCTTGGTGAAGAGCACAGCCTAAATCCTGACAGGCCTAGTGTCAATTTCCTGTGCGATACGGACCACGACCCGTTTCTCTTCATGGAAGAAAACGAAAAGGTCTACGGTGAGTCATCTTTGCGTGTCGTGCATTCCGGTGATCTGAATGCTTCATTATCAAAGGTTTCACCATTACGCCATATGAGTGGCCGCTGACTGTCCCAACGTTATGGGGCGCCGTCAAAGGCGAGGCTACCACTTGCTTGGTCGATGCTCAATGTTGCTCAACGGCAGGACGTGTCACAGAGTTCACCACCACGTATCCGCAGTATATCGCTCCCAACAACGCGATGGATTTCCTCACCGACGATGGCGGTGAGACTTATAACATGTGTCACTGTACGTATTTTCTCACAATCTGTGCGAGTTATTGCCAGCTAAACAGTGATGACGCAGTCTGGAGCAACTTTGAGATCGCGAATATGGACTTCTGGCGGGGCGAAGCTTACAGCAAGTTTTTCGAACACCTAGAGTCCAAGGGCGGATTCTATTACGAGGTGGGTATCTGTTCTCCTCTGATTTGTTGATCCCTACGTTCATCTCACGCACCTTGTGGCACATCAACACTTCCATCGCGACCGATGAAATGCACTAAATAGCGCTGGGGCGACGCTCCTGTCCACAGCATCGGGGCTGCGCTCTTCGCCCGCAAAGATCAGATTCACTTCTTCGACGATATCGGGTATCAGCATCCACCCTTCATGCACTGTCCACGTCACCAGACCGTACGTAAGGAACGGAACTGCTCGTGTTCGCCGTTTGGCAGCTTCGGTCAGTAGTTCAAATCGTTGTCGTCCGCCCCGTCGGCGCTACGTCCGATGCCAGTGTGGTTCCGGGCTCTCGAAGCGCGGTATGGGACAGCTGCTGAAAAATTCCACGTTCGCTGACGCACGTTCCCTTCTGGACAGATTACAACGGGTACTCGTGCTTGCGTAAATGGGAGCTGGTGGCGCGCATTTGACGTTCTGGCAGTCTCTTTGGTACCCCGATGCGCCGGCGTCGCATTGTCCACACAGCCTACAAGATAATGTCCGGCAGACCGTTCTCATCCGTTGTTTATTCCGAAGCAGGTGAGAAACCCAGACGACCCCGCCTTGCTGTTGCGATGCGGCGGATGAGAAAAGTCTACAGTAATTGATCTGCACGAGAAACTTGGAGCGAGGGAGAGTCCCTCTTTATGAAGCAGGTCTTGTCTTCCTATTAGATAGACGAGCGAGCGGCGTCTACAGTGTCTGCGTATTGTATCCTGTGGGAACTTATCAACAGCTGTCCCCCAATCTACGTTACTGCAAGTACTCCCAGGTTGATGTTGAGATAGCATCCAACGGAAGCAATACACAGCGTGTGCGAGAAGACTTCGCTGGTCAGAAGTCCCGAGCCAGAGTAGACACTTCAATCCTCCATTTACATACAGTGCCCCAGTGAAGAGCGCACACGCGCGTGCGACCCCATAGCATTCGAGTGGCGTTCTCAACTTCTGCAGATGTTGCTAGAGATGCTAGCGCCTGAAAAAGGCCATGAATGTGGGAGCACCGCAGGTAAGAGCTCAGCGACATCTACGAAGGCCGCTGAGAAAACAGAAAACGGGGCTGCGACAGAGGCGGTCGAGGAGCTCGAGAAATGTCCGGCTGCGGTTTCGGCTAGTGTTGCCGCCAATTCGAGTCAGCCAAGCCAAGCCAGTGGGGCTTGATCAAGTGGGGCAAGCCAGCCGGATCCAGCCGAGCCGGCATCCAGCTGATTCGTAGCCAGCTGCCCAGCTCGCGCCCAGCTCCAGCTTGATGGGCTGACCGGCTGGCAAGCTACGCGCCTTATATGGAACTCAGATGCGCGCAGCTTCGAATGTGAGTGGACGGAAAGAGACAAGCCATATATACATTATAAGTTATGTACAGAACGACTGCTAATGGTGAGGAAATTGTGCAGAAGACGGGCAAAGCAAAAAATTGACGGGATACAAGAGTCACATCTCGCCTTCTGTGTCAGGATCATTCAAGGTGAGCTCCTCAATGCGGGTAACAAAGTTCCCCATGAGGTCCAGTCACTCCTGTTTGTACCGGAACTACAAGACTTGAAGGGCCTCCATGAGTACTCGGACTCCATCTCCTCGCGAAATAAGGGTGAAACCGCCGCCATCACAGCCGGTAAGTGGATGGGAGTTTGTGAGGCAGATGGCTCAAAAACGCGTGAATCTGTCTATGAGAACACATAATCTAGCTATAAATACATTACACAGTATGAGTAGATATGGTTGGCTCTTGCTATGGCGAGGAAGGGGATAACGCGATGTGAGGATGGGGTGACATGGCAAGCGATATGGAGCGTTCAGTATCAGATGTCGAGCGCTTCGTGGGTAGGTCTTTCCATTACCGGCAATCCATCACGAAATGGGGTCATCACGACCAGCCAGCTGGACTCTCTCCGACCATTCCCCTGGGCTGCAGCTGATTGCGAGCTGGACCTATCGCCACGTCAGCTCGATCCACCCAGCCGGGCCAAGCTGCGTGATTTTCCAGCCAAGCCCAGCCAGCTCTCAAGCCCAACTCGAATTGGCGGCAACACTAGTTTCGGCCCCGTCCTCGACGGTGACGACCACGTGGCATGTGTTACGCTGTCTGGAGCGCCCGTAATTCTGCCAGCCTTGTGCCGCCAGTGTCGGTCGACGATGTGTATCGGACAAGGTCCCCTGCTATCCTCTCTCTCCTTCTACTCTGCCGATGTGCAGGTCTTTCCTCTGATATAGTGACTGTACACGTGGATGCCTGGCCATATTTCCCTGGATCTGTGTACATCGAGCGTTTCTCACAACACCTCGGCGGACCGGCAACTCAGGCTATGAACCAGCTTTCGCCGGCTCCCCCGACCTTCCGAGTAGGTCGCGCGCCCATTTTCTGGGATAGCATCCCCTCAAACGCTTAGAATGGTGATAACAACAGTAGCAGGGAATATTGTTCCATACGCAAGTAGGCGGTCTCTAGACCTCCTCGGAAGGCGCTATGTAGTATGCGATCTACTTCCGGTGCGCGTGCCAGCAGGAACTGCCTCGAAGTACGTCTTCTGACAGCGGCATGTTTCAAGACCTCCTTTCCACTCGTCATATCTTACACAATATGATCCGCATGTATTGCAAAGCGTACACGCCGTCTCTGCCTGTACAGGAGCAGCACACGAGTTCCATATCAACGACGTCGTCGATACAAGGGTCGACTACCTCCAAGACGTCTCTCCATGCGACCTCGACATTCCCCTCTACCTTATGCCTCATAAACCTGTGTATATCCGAACGTCCTCACGGCACGCTCATCTTACATCCTCGTAGGACATCCTCCCGAGTCCCGACGACGATCACTAAATGCGGCGCGCTGTCAGGCGCGCAGTCGCAGCCCGTAATCAGCCTCAAGCGCAGAGACAGGACACAAGATACGCTATCCTCACAAAACCTCGCCGTACGTGTATGGACCAGAAGGGCACCGCTCATGCAGGAGCACGTTCCGAACTCTCTCGCGCTCTCCGAGCTCTCCACACATGCAGTTGTGCTAGTCTTGGTCATGATTAGCAGCTCACCTTCAGCAGTTGAGCCGGCGGCTTGCGGTGCTGCTACGAGCATCTTGCGCGCTCGGAAGATGACGGCTGCGAGCTTGCCTCGGAAGCGGAAGAACAAAGGTAGAGGCGGGCTCTGTGTGGGTTGCAGAATTGGGGCAGAGCCTGGCGAAGGAGGTGTGGCTGATGCGTTATAGGTGAGTTGATCCTACGCCATGCTATGCTTCAATGCGTTTGAATTATCGAGATGCGTATATGCGCATAGAGTCCGCCGCTAGGATCCCTGGACCCTACCCGACAGGGATACGCAATGTCTGCTATCGCAGCTCAAGTCACTCATCATACGCATTACTATATGTTTGTATGTTCGTAGTCGGCACGGAAGCTATGTATCTCATGATCTCCCCAATGTCCTTCAGCATGTTCTCCTTCTATCGACGAAGTCTACGCTATGGTTGAGCGGGGCGAAACCTTAAGGTTGAAGCTGACCACGAGAACAAGGGCTTTGGTCAGATTTCGGATGGAAGTGCCTCGTCAACAGCTTGGTGAGCAGCATTGGGAGGTTTGATCCGTCGTTTTTGCAGATAGCTGACATGGTGTCCAGCAAGTGTTCCTCTTTTGCCCACGTAGCGAGGTCGCTCGGCGCGGGTAGCCTACGACAGACTAGCCTCTCGCCCATGTTCAGCAATGTGTCACGTTAAGGGTGCTTCAAGATGAATTTGTTGTGTGGCGTGCTACCGTAGCATTGACTTGGGCGCGGCTGAAATGGACCCCCTAAAGACATGAGCCGGAATATGTATCGTTTAGGAACGGCGCTTCGACACGTGGCACGTGCTTATTCTGTCTATAGACCGGGGCGAGACATGATACGACGGCAAAATCTTCTTATACATACCTTGGGGTCATCGGAAGTAGCGAGAGAAATATCTGTGATGATGGCGATACACCCTCCGTGGACCACGGTGTTTCGTGGAACAACGCACTGCGGATGCTCCGGTCATGATAAATCCTCGGAGCAGTCACTACATCGGGCCCGTTCGCGTTCCGCTGTCGGAAAAAGGGCTTTCGACCTATTTATATGAACAGATGTATGGTGACGTCACGGCAAGTGAACTCGTGTAAATTTGCTATGCATCGCCTTCGGGTCTTGGCCAACGGTGACCATGCAGTGCAAAATAGAGCATCCCGTTTGGATGTGTCGCATACTTCGAACTTAGCTTGGATCCTCCTGCGCCCTTGAGGAAGGTCAACTGAAAATGAGTTGAACGCCATTGGAAACCTGATAGGAGTCAAGGACTCTTCCCGAAGTCCTGCATTTAGCTCCGATTGGAACCGGAGTTTGCCCTGTCAGGTACGATGCCCCCACTGAGTTCCCTCAGGCTAAGCTTCTGTGTATTCGCTCACCTCGACATCAGTATCATCTTACGTCTCCTCAATCCGCCGAGGTTTGTACTGCCGGTGAGTCGCACAAGGCTCGGACAGAAGCGTCACAAGAGAGCAGTTGCTACCTAGACACATCAATGAATTTTTCTACATGTTGCCCATAGGAGAAATATGGAAGGTAGACATGAAGACAAGGGCATAGTAACCAAGGCATGTAATCTCGACCACAGCCCCTCGGCTTGAGTTGTAAATGCTTGGTGATGAATAATCGGTTCCTGTTCTGTGCCGGCATGGGTCCCTTCTGCAATATATGGTTATATGAACACACAACGATGAAGCTGAGGCCGTACACAATTTGCGATGTGCTCTTGTTCTTACCGGTTTGAGCATTTGGAGCGTTCAAGCACTGAAGCCCGAAGCATGCTGCACTGCGATACATAAGAAGCGTCTGACTTTCAGAACTTGGCGAGTATCCCTTTTCTACACACCATGTCTCCCTCACTCTTGACTACTTCGGACCTCAGCCAGCATATATCTATTGACAGTACCATAGGGGCTTTGCTCGTCGGTACCTTCTCTAGTATCTTGTGAGTGTTTGCGATTATGGGCTCAAGTTCCCTCTGTCTAATCCATGCGCAGCCTTACTGGAATCACGTACCTACAGGCATGTCAATATTGGCGTTCTTTCACCAAAGACCCGATGCTCTTAAAGATATGGGTAGGACGATGTGGCTTATGCTATCTGCAAATCTTCGGAGCTGACTTCAGGAGTCCGGTAGGTATGTATGGTTGTGTAAGCTGAAGTCCATATAGCATCTCAGCTGCGACTCTGATGCTTTTCAAACTGAAGCATACTAGAGACGTTCACTGTCATCCTTGTGATGCATGCGAGGTATCCGTACTACCAGATAATTGCTTGATATCCCTGAACGACCGTTTCACTCTACAGTTACTATTATGTAGTCTCGCATTTTGGGACCCCCACATTTTTTGTCACTTCTCCGCTAGTCTGGTAAGTGGCACTACAACCCTATGGATTCATTCATTACAGCAATGATGTGTCGATAATCACCCCTAGGTCAGCACGGGTAAGGCGCTTGGAGCTACTCTTTTTCCCGTCGTGTCGGTTGGCTAAGTGTAATACACTCACAGCTTCTACCGATCGGTGGAGTAAGTCTCATCTTTGACGAAACCTTCTTAAATCGTAGCTCAGAGTGTCATGGTCAGTTCCTCACAGGATGCACCACCCAGTGGTATGTTTTATGCAACCGTCAACTGGATTTCCTATGACGTAGACTTACGGGATCCTCCTTAACCAGTTTCTTTGTACGACGTTTATGGATGAGTGAGTCTACCCCTTACTCACCTCAAGTACAATACGCTCATATCCTCCAGTGTCCCCAACGTTCCGTCCGGTGGTGATTGCAGCGGTGAGTCCAGAATCTCCCTTGAGTGACAGAGGTAAAGCTGCTTATGAGGCGATCAGGTGCTCATGATCGCAGCATATGGGGGTGGGTGCCTATTTCGTGCAATAATTGTCAGATTTGTGGTGAAGTCATTATATCTTGCAGGACTCTATACAGGTATTTGAAACCATTCCGGAACTACGTACATACACATTGATACTAGATTAATTGGTAGTTCTCTCTATCAAAATGTGAGTGCCCTTACCGAGAATACGTTGCGCTGAATCATCTGACAGAGTACCCTCAGGTTCCAAGCACAGAATATTTTAGAGCTATTTGATCTTTCCGTAAGACATCTATCGCCTTTCATAACATTGACGCAGACCGCATAGAACGACCTCACTCTTCTTGCAGTGGATGATTACAGCGGGCTCCATCATACAAATGATTGCGGACGTATCTACCACAAGTTCCCTAATCTACGTTTTATACCATCTCCGCACGGGATTCAATACAAGGTTAGGTAGATTGAAAGCAGCATTTTCCTCCCGATGACTAAGCATATTGCCTTATTCAGAACGGATTCGAAGCTTGATCTCCTCGCGGCATATGCTTTCAGCACAGGTAAGCTTAATCCGCCTCGTGGTATGTCTGTAGAACTGACCCTGGTGCAGGTTTAGTTACTTGGTACTTGTACAAGTTATATCTAGAGCTTCAGGGCCCTAACACTAGACTTGCAGTTTGTTCCATGTCTTGAATGTTGTGGCCGTATGTATGTCTCTTCAACAAATGTGTCACTCACTGAAAAACGCACCGATGCTCCTAGGCGACGGTATGGCCACATGACCTCATCTGGGTCACGCCTGCCTGTACTTTGGTCAAGTGTACGCATTCAGCACAATCAACCATGATATTGTTTGGTCATAACTGCTAACTCCCTATCAATTGCATACAGTATACGCAAACAATCTCCTTACAGCGTGAGCATAGTTGGTTTCTTGTACTAGCCCAGAAGCACTGACAAACCTGCAGTCTCAACTCACGTAAAGCTCTAGGGATTATGGATAGCGACGACAGAGTTACAGCATACTCCTGGTCTAGTCGGAGATTCATTCGTGGGCTCACCATGTCAACGGTAAGTCCGTTATCCTTGCCATGTTTCCTCGTCCGGATCAAGTCTGAGAAGCGACGGTCAATGAAAGCTGGGCCGAAACAAGCCCTGTGCCGCCCCGCCACCGCCTGTGGAAATGAAGATCACTCGGCATACTATCTCGAAAGTGCACTTGGACACCTCTCAGAGGCCTGAAGCTGAGATTCCTTCCGTGCATGAAGTATGAAGACCGGAGTCGTGCATCTTCCACACATCCCGCATCATATCCGGCAGACTGTTCTCATCTGCAGCGTGGTCCGGTGCGGGCAAGAAACTAGACGACCACGTCTTGGTATATTTAGCTGTAGAGATACGAAAAACCTCAATGCTTTGGTCTGTACAAGAGCTTGAAAGCCTGCTTCGTCAAAAGGGCAGTTCCCAATTTCCAGTGGAATAGCGTTCGCGCTACCTCCGTCTTCCCAGCCGCTATGCGTGAGAACCTTGTATCTCTCAGAAGTCTCTCGTCACCTCTCCCAATATACGAAACCCTTAAGTGGAGAATGCAAACCCGCGTGAGACGCCATAACCGACTCACGCTGCTTGCCAAAGGACACTGGGCGACAACATGGGCGTTCATATCATAATTCGCTTCGTTCGCCTAGTCCTACAGAGTCCCAAACAGAGATGTCTAGCGTGCCATCGAATCAGCCATGCATTCATCCCAAAGAGGGCATGCTCGCCGTCGCTTTCAGTTGAAAGTCCTCCATAACAACAAAGCGCAGATCAGAACATTCTCACAAAGCGATCAGCCCGAGCCGCACAAGTACACATCATGACTAGCGGAAAGTCTGCAAAGTAACTTTACGAAGGTCCCTAACCAGCGTCCGCATCCACTCACCAGCCCGGCACCTCGATATCGAAAATCTCGGGGTGTCGCTCCCAGATTTCACGCCTCACCTGCCCTTCTTGCTCCTGCACCATCTTGTAGCACTTCCTTCACGGATTCGTACCCCGGTTCTGACATGTCGAAGACACACGCGAGGTGTAGACGCGCGAAGCTGCGGCGATGGAGGCGGCGATGAGTGCGTTTGTGATCCCGAAGCAGCGGCTGAGGTCTTCTGGCGAAAGCACTTCGCGCGAGCCGTCCTCTCGCTCAAAGCCCTTGGTGATTGACGCGCCTAGTGTGCAGCAGACAACGTACGCAGTGGGGAGAAGCTTCGCTTCGCCAATGAAACGTGAGAGGTTTACCACACCTACAGCATGCTCCATAGAGAAGGTGTGAGGACCGTAGCAATCCAAGGGGGACCGGCCCTCCTCAAATCTGCTTAGGGGCACTCTCCCAGATACGCGATGAAGTACTCGACAAGCTTCGTGGTTTGGTATTTATGGCCTAGACGGATTGAAGCGGAAAGCTCGTCAAAACTAAGGACCATGGGAGCGAACGGGCTATCGCCCGCGCCGGGGATCAATTGTCATGGAATATCTGAGCGGAAAAATAGTATCACCCACTCCAAGTTAGCTTTAAGGATGTATATGCGGAAGACGTGACGAAGGTCGTAGGACGAATCGGTGAGATGGACTACGGGACATTGGGTGCCTTGTGTAGTCGTTTCCGGGGGTTGCGGGAGAGAGAACATATCCTTGAACACAGGCGAGTGTTCGGCGAGGATGCCCTTTAAAATCCGGAACTCTACTGCGCCAGCAACAAGGACGATGTTACCGTCTTCGAACCAGAACTCCTCGTCTCTGCTCCGTTCTTCAGGTGCTGACACCATTTTGTCTGAAGCCTCCGCGCTCGAGCGGCCTTCAACTTCCTCTCCGGCATCTTCGAGTCTTGCCCTTTTGCTGGGAACGCTTTCCGTTGACATAACAAGCAAGATGAGAGGATATGTCCAGACACTAGTAGAATGAAGCGAGCGAGTCGACGCGAAGCTGCCTGCGAGGACGTTCGGCGAATGGACCAGGGCCCACGTGGCATGACGTCATCCTCCTCGGCCTTGGCCGGCGGGCAGCAGCAGTCTTCCGTCCTCCCAGGACAGGTCTTGAAATCAACCGCTATCTACACTTTGGTCTCTCTCATCTACATGAGGCCTCGTCTTCATCCTGTCCGTCTGCAACTCCATTCACGTACATCCCTCGGCTTGGATATCGAGCAGCCGTTCCGGAGCAGTGCACTAGCACAGTCGTTGCTCGGACGCGTCTGGAGCGAGGAAGACGATAGGGCAGAGATAGGTCAGGTGGGATTGCAGCTTCGGCGGAGGAGGAGCGACTGAACGCCGCAAAGGTGTTCCGTCAGAACCATGAGAAATGTAATGTTGCGTTTGAGAACAGGTTAAGAGACTAGAGCGGGCGTGCGCAGAGTTTGACGGGGGACGCGAGGGAGAGGTGGCATGAACAGCTGGCTTGCGAGCTTCGAAAGCCCTAGCGGCAGCCCAAACTCAGGGTCCTTATTGTTGGGCATTTCCTAAGAGAACTACTGTTTCAGACAGATTGGCAATCCAACATCTACACAAATCATGCTAGTCGTTCCGGGCAACTTGAACGCGAGGTTGGACTTACGCTTCAGGGTCGTTCCAGAGCTATGTCACCACGGCGCGTGGAATTTGGCGTGACGCACTCCTCTCCTCATAAGATAGTTGCATAAATAAGGTGCACAATAAGCCTCGCTGCGTCCCACTCGCTGCACCAGCGTCCAAGATATGGTCGACCTCGATTACAGCCAGGCGCGGCAACTCATGCGTACGATAACCATCGTACCTCGTTTAGATGGTACGACGATAGGGAAAGCTAGTCGATCGTGAAGAACTTGAGTAAGATTTGTGCCTACTGCTGCCAGAAAACGCACCTGCGGCGACCTCGGCGACTGCTGCGCATCATCAGCTCGCAAGGTCTCTTCGTCCACCATCTTCTCGGTGGCATGCAACATATCATCTGCGGATAACGCGATACTCTCACTGTCTGACATCGTCGACACGGACACATGTATGGCGATGGGACTCGACAGAGGTGAGGAGTTATGGTGGTTCCGCCGCTCGACGTCGAGGGTGGGAACTGCCGGCGTCGAGAACCCTGGGATCTGACAGGAGCTTCCGTTCAGTTGGTACATGGAGCGCCGAGGTTGGTCCGAGGGCGCGTTCGACGATGCCGCATTGATGGATATCCGCATGACAATCAGCAAGAACACGATGCCCTGTCATCCGCAGCAGCGGGAGCAATGCGTCTTGTGTCAGCTCGTATCATCTTGGAAGCCCAAAAGACATCTGGGAATCAAGATGGAAGGTACGCACAATCACGGATGGAAAAACGCTGTGCAGCGCTGGGAATGCAATGGCCGGGCTCGTGAACGAGGTGGCCGCCAGTGAGATGGATGCGACGGAGTAGATGGCAGCAGATTGGAGGATGGATTCAAAGACTCTCCACTTGACGCCGCGAGATGAGTCTCGAGTGTTGGCATCCCGCGTTCCGACAGACGACGAGAGAATGCGTCCCATAATGAGTGCTATGAGAGCGATGTTAATAGAAAATGGACGACGCTGGTGAGCGATGCAGCCCACCTGTGGACAGGAGATTGGTGACTGCGGAGATGATGAAAAAAGCCTGCACAAGAGCATCCACGCATGACACAGTGTCCGCTTGCAGGCTACTCATCATGACCGGACCAGAGAGAGAGATGTAGTATCCTATGACTAGCAGCCTATCAACCTCACAACCGACCATTTGAGGAGCAGTTAGGACGTACAGATCTCCCCGACTAGCAAAATGACAGGGAGCACAATGACACGTGTAGAGCGATCCCAAACCATGTATGCTCTATACGCCTGTTTGAGAGTGTCAGAAGTGGAGAGTACGAGGGGACGGATACTCTATAAGGGGTCGACCGACCATAAAACCATCTCCGACGAGTACCTGAGTCACATAGATCCCAAATTTCGCTGCACCGAGGGTGCTGCTCAAGGCATTCCAACCATCGAAGACTAGAGACATCCGCTCAACGTCACCACCTCTCGTCACGAAACTGTTAAGAACAACGTGCACATCTAGGGCTGCATGCTTTTAATCGTAATTTGAGCTGGGTCTGAGCCTGATGTTAGATATAGAGAATCACTCACTACAAGAGCGAGCATGAACATAAGCGTGCTCGCCACGAACAGGACGATGTTCCGGGCTGATCCGCCGAGTACCTTGTCCCGGAGTAACAGGATCCACACGCAAATTCCGTATGTGACACCGAATACCCCGAAGAGGAGTGACTCGATGAAGAAAGCCACTAAGCCCGAGGTCAGTGTCGACTGAGCTATAGCGGCCTGGACGGGAAGTCAGTAGCGGACGGTTTACAAAGTGTAGAGTAGATTACATACCATAGGATCGCTCGAAGCGCTGCGGCTATCCATAACAACAGAGGGTGCAATTGACGGCGGGCCAACGTGGACGAAGACGAGCTCCAGAGGACTAGAACCCTGCGTCGTGGGTTATATCTCGAGCGACAAGTCGCCTATCACCACTACAAGGTTGTGACAGCTATTCGTGAGCAACGCGAAGGGAAGCTATAGGGGTGTGGTCATTTTCCACAGCCTTGTCTAGTTCCCTTCAGCTACGGTCACGGTCTCAGAGCGCGACTTGGGTCATGCCGTCACTGGGACCTCCTCGGCGAGGGTCCTCATCGAGAAGACTCAAGAAGTGATCGAGCCTACAAGACATCCTGTATACCGGAGTAACTGCTACATGCAAGAATTCCTCCTAAGTGACATGAAGTCAGAGGCATAGCAGAAACGCCCAAGCACGCGAAGACATTACTATCTGGTTCCAAGCGGGTGTAGGGCAGCGCCACATTCCGTACTGACCGCATCTCTGATCCAGTGCGATCTGTCGAGGACATTCAGTTACTGAGCTATGCGAGCAGAGCATACTGACAGGGTTGCCTACAATGGATGTGCCACCGACCAATGTTGGAAAGACCGCAGGTAGCATGGATGAACGTGGCGGTTACTATTGGTAGGAGCCGTGATCGCTGTCTGCTAAGAGCGTGGGAACGCACAGGGTTTATCAGGCGCTGATACCTGGGAGGGATCACCGGGCTCACCGACTCTGGGCTATGCACTACCCGCTGCGCACAATGGGGAATTACAAGTCTCCCGACTGATGTCCGGGTGGAAATGGAAAGGGCTGGGAGAATCCACTTGTACGCGGCTTCGTCCTCGTAGGTCGCGCCATGTACTTAGCAACTTAGTCCGGAGTGTTCGGGAAGGTGATGGTCGCATCGACATGAAACCGATAGATACAGCGAGGGGTTTTCGAAGAACAAAAAGGAGCGTATAGTTTTATCCAAAGACCCAGGCTCATAGACGTCATTCCAACACAATTTAGTCTTCACTTCAACGATGCACACCCTGTATGAGAATATCGTGAGTATTTCTGCCAGCGACGTAAGATGTCACCTACTCTGCTATTAAACGACACCTGGATTCTCTTCAACGACATATTTTTCGTCTTTCCCTTTTGCAGACGAAGCTGAAGAATGGGGACCACATGACGACATGCTCCCATGGTCAGACGTGCGTGAGACCGACACATGTATCGCAATGGGAAGCGCTGAGTAGTCCTCGATATCATCCACCGTGATAGGCAGACTTGGGCATGACTGAATGCGAGGTCCATTGTAGTTCATCTCCAGCGCTGAGGGTCGAGGGCTTTCCTGGACTGTGCTGAGGCAGATCCTTGCTACTGCAATAGTGAACACGATCGCCTAGGCCAATGATTAGATACATTGTAGAAATAGCAGCGGAGAGAGAACACACCACCGTCGGTGGGAAAATGTAGTGACTGGCGCTCAGTCCCAAAGGGCTTACAAAGGAGTTGACGGTAAAGCATATCGCTGATATGGTGAACACGGCGGCGGACTGCACGATAGATTTGGCAACGCGCCATCGGACCGTACGAAGCCGGAATCCATCAGGTCGGTACTCCGAGACTTCCCCACGTGAGCTCCACAGGGGCCTCATGACCAACACTGCAAAAGCATCATTTAACGGTCCCTTGAATGGAAACGAACTTGTCCTTTCAAGATAGCGTACCAGTTGCCAATGCGTTTGTCACAACAGCGATGACAAGGTATGCCTGCAGAAAGGCGTGGAATCTGGCGGGAGGAGATAGTTGGCCAATCGCGAGGGAAGAGAATCCCAATGCTGGGTAGTATATGTCGACTTAGAATATGATCCTAGTCTTCAGGAATATCTGTGGCGCCTACCAACTTCTCCAGTGAGAAGGATCACTGGCCACGCAATTATATAGCATGAATTATTCCAAATAATGAACGCGCGATAGATCTTTGGAAAATTGAGTTGATGGTAATTTCTAGATAAAGCTCTTCGGTTACGTACCATGAAAGAGTCGCCAATAAAGGTCTGTAGAATATAAATGGTGAGTTTGGCGAAGCCCAGTTTCGTTTGCCCGTTCCAAGTAGTGATCCCTTTGGCCAAGGTTGCAACATCGACTCCTCTCAAGAGCCCACTTTGCACTAAGATGTCAAGATCGATCACCAGATGCTAAAGCATAGAAGTAAGGTATGGAAGAAGGACTCGAGGATATGATATATCACGTACTAATATCGCCAGAACAAACATGACAGCACTGGCACCAATCAGGAGAATGTCCCGCTTTGACCGAGCATGTGGTGATGATCTAGAAAGAAATTGCCACACAATCACAGCATAGAGTGCAATGAAGCCACCGCAAAGTAGTGTCTCTACAAGCAGGCATCCCAAGGCAAGACGAACAGACGACATTTCACTTGCAATCTGAAGGTCGATGCCATCCGTATCAGTATCGTGACGCATCATCCTACATAGTACGCACCTCAGAGATAGACATGCCGGAAACGAGTCTCACACAAGGGTTGGGGGAGAACCGGAAAGGCTCTATCTCACTACACCTTGGAGCGAGATTGAGCTGAAGTCGACACGCACAAGTGCTGGTTAATAAGTGTCGGAAACCAGTGCTATGATCGATGACGAGCCCATGCATCAATATCTGTATATGGGGTAGCACAGCAGTGCTCTTGGCAAGGGGAAAACGCAATGGATATCAGACCGGGAAACTTCGTCACTGGGAAGCCATCGTACCAAAGAAGGTGGCCGTGGGCGGCCTAATGCCTACTATGGCACTAGGCGGCGAGATTGGAGTGAGGGAAATCTAAACACATCTTGTCCTGAGAGCCCCACTGGCATTTTACCTTGAGAACGTAAAGGGGAAGATCTTCCGGCGTCCGGGAGAGCTGTCCTGTTATGGGGAGCTAAACTAGGGACCAGGATGCGGCATGATAGAACTCGCTCAGGGCATCGAAGGGTGTTTCTCTTGAACCTATCAGCAAACGATGAGATACTTGAGTCGAGCGTACCTATCAGAAATGGCCTCTTATCTCGTCGAACAGGTGGCTGTTGGACTGACGCAGGAGAGTATTGAAGGCGACCCGGAGGTGAGTAATCAATGCATTTCCGCATGTATAGAGCATAAGGGTGATGCACGCTAGCATCTGACTCCACATACAAATCGCTGACCATCGAGACGTCTTGCTTTACCAGGTCATCGAGCGTGGGCTGCTCCGAGTCGGGGGGTCGGGTTATATTGTGCTTCTATATGTGGAAGTAAGTACCTTATGAACAAGGCGACGATTTTCTCCGATGCTGATACTCTCGTGTCCTAGTTGAACTTCTTGGCAGTAGGTTCGATCACAGGTAGGAAGAAATAACAAGTCAATGGTCCGACATCCGTGGAGTTGAAGCCGATACTTGAGTCTTGATTGAGGGAGAGGTAGGACAAAGTGTGGTCTTCATCTTACTCCGGCGTAGGAACGCCAGGACAAGTCCGGCTACGAAGGTGTGGTAGGCTTGACTATCTATACATGCTGTGCTTGCGTTTGGCGTGCCTCAGTGGACGACAGAGGGGAGACCGAGCCAGGCAATAAGGCGACCGCATTCCGACTGGGTCCAATGAACGCACTCAAGGTCTCAGGCGGCGAAAGCTGTGTACTGGGTGGGTGTTCGGATATGAAGCAGTTCAGCAGCTCACAATAGCACGTCCTTCTGGTCGGTGTGGGGAGGACTTCCAAATAAGGGTCCTGGCTTGAGTCGGATCACGGGCCCACAACATGACGCCCTCGACCTCGCGCTTCAACACCGCAGTCTCAGAAGGGAATTTTTGGCAGATGTGTGATCTGGGGTCTACAAGCACTAACATGATGAGAGAATCAGGATATTGACACTGCTGATGAGAGCTACGCGTCCACTGTCCGATGGCGTGGCTACATGCACTTATTGTTCGCTCACACTCTCAAGTCAATACGTATTCCGCCTGCGCTCAAGGCTTTATAACGCTTATTGAAAGCCTAGGTTGCGTTCGAGGACACCAAGACAGACACTGTCTTGAAATGCCTGTGAACGATGTCCACGCGCAGACACAAAGCGTCTATGATCCCAAATCAGTGCCGGTATGACAGTCTGAACGTAGTTTATACATCCACCAGATCGAGGTCATAGGCGATGCGTCTGGCCGATCCCACATTGGGAGTTGACGGATGTGTTTGAGGATGCAGCCTTTGTTGCGGACGTGATGCGCACGATGGTGCTAGCTCACGAGATGTGCGACATCTGCTCTTCAGAAGGGCACCCACGCTATGGTTATTTTTGTGGTCAATGGAGCGCTGCGGAACGCCGTTTCCGTCTCGTATTCATGCCGGTGAGCTGGCTTGATTCAGATCTTGGTGCTGAACGCGTACGTCAAGCTGTCGACTGACGTCCAAGGGTGACACCTACTACGAAGACAATTGGAACTTGTGACGTCATAAGTGCATGATCAAGCAGAAATCGAAGAAACGTATTGCTGCCTGTATGGGTTCGTCTCGAGGCCAGGTTCGCGGGGCAGAGCGATCCACTTGGGCGCTTCCTGGGCGGAGCAGCCATTGCAGGATAATCAGTATTGCTTCGCATCAATCATGCAAGATCCGAATCCGTACTTTGAATAGCCGCACAGCGCGTACAGCATTCTTGCTGTCAAGCGTGAAGCGATGGTAGATGCCAGCCGGGACAATGATGAGGTCGTCCTTCTCGACCTGTGAGTGCGGGGAACATCAACCTCAACCTAGTCGTGTCGATAGCACGCTCCAAGTACCCACATGAATACGAATCCACCGGCTATCATCCTTGCTCCGGACGTCGAAGTAGCCGGATCCCTCACGAATGTACCTGATTTCTTCGTCCTCATGGAGATGCTCCTCATAAAAAGCCTTGATCTTGGCTTCATAGCCGTCTCCGAGGCTTTCCTTAGAGACCCTGATCTGTTGGGAATATCGTCAGACATGCCAATAGCGACTCACACTTCATGATATACCTCGTCCCGGGCCACATAACCGCGTTCGAGGGCGATTGCATCGACGTTTTCGAGGCTTTGATTGACAAACGCGAGGACGCCGACTTCCTTCAACGCATTGAGATCGAGGTATTCGCCGGTGGAATCGTGACGCGCTGTGGGATGCTCGTTGGACTCATCGTGGTAGTATGCCCTCATTCTACAAGTCCGTTTCTCGTTTATGTCGCGGCAATAAACGTGGACAGGGTGTAAGACGTGTAGGCGGTGCAAACATACCTCGCCATCATTTCTAAGCCACCGGTGATTTCCGAACCGACCTCCCACGCAGACGACAATGCCCGAGCCACCCACGGCCCTTATCATCCCAAATTCTTCATAGAAACTGCACGGACCTACAGAGACTAGGGTAAACGGAACGTTCGCAACTGTGGTGGAGCTAGGCAGATCGTTGCCACTGGCAGTGTATACTCTGTGAACGCAATGATGCAAACCCAGTGTTACGCAGCCCACGACATTCCAACGGCCGCAGTAGTGATCCCCTCGCCCGACTCCTGTTCAAATTCAGGGCGGTGCTTTCACGCTCGCGCTTACCGAAGTGACTGAAACAAGAGCTACCAATCTGTCGACCTCGACCACGGACCTTGCTTTCGACTTGACACTGATTGTCTTGGTAGGTGATAGAACGACAATGGAGGAGTGGAGCCAGTATCACAACGCGACGGAGCGATACGGTCGTATAAGTGAGCTGCTATGTTTCGCTACGCCTTCAAGTTGCCGCAATGCCCTACGTCTCACCTACACTTCTGCCTGGATTATGCAGTACTGCTGATCTTCAATGCGTAATGTATGAGCTAGCTCTATGATGGCGTACTGGCCCTGAGAGCGCATCAGAGCGTGATCACACGTAGCTGGCGGCAGTCACATACCATGAGCGGAGAAAGTAGGCACATGGAAACATAGAACTTGATATTCAGGCTCCAGAGAAATGTAACAGGGAGCGCGAGTGATCCGAGGCGGTAGACAGCGGCGGAATGAAGGACAGCATTGAGGAAGTCCTGTGATAGGCCAAATGCCCCTAACGCGGAGATACCGCCCGCAAGCAATTCGCGGATAGCGTCACTGGAGCGAAGGCGCGCCTCCATCATAGGACCTACATAGGCCACACAACGATCAGCTCACCCAGGCCCCTCATATGAAATTTGGAAACACTCACCTGATGAGAGCACGCCGGTCGCAGCTATTGAAGTGAACAAAAGGAACTGGAAAAATCATAGTCCTCCAGCAGAGGCGGAATATCCAAATGCTAATCGAGAAGTTCATCAAATGGCATACTCAGAGACACGTATATGCTTACCAGTTGCCAAGACCGATGCGGATAGGGCAGGTGCAAATGCTTTGGGGTTACCATTAGACTTCAGGTACAAGATATATGTCTATAATAAGTAGGACTCATCAGTTCCATCACGCTCACAATTGTTGAAACCGCTCCCGTTACCAATAAGCAGTTGGCGATCGTGGTCTGTGTCACGTAAAGGTAATACTGGAACCCGTTTGCCGAGAAGAATAGCGAGTGTTCGTCTTCGAAGGAAAGATATTGAGTGTCTACTCGTCCTTCATAGCCAGTCGTTGGTGACAAGGCCACGTTGAACGTCAGACACAGATGCTATGAACCGCGTGACCTATAGTCCTGTCAAAGGAAAAAAAACGTCTCACGAAGAATGCGGTCAACAACATCACGGTGATCGCCTGCCGCAGCACAGTCTTCCGCTTCTCCAGTAACTGAGATTGTTTCGTGCTCTTCAGCGACAACCACGTCGTAACATATGCCATCGCAAAGGCTCCGAATAGCACTGATTGGAAAAACAGGGACAGTATACGCAACAAAATCAGGTCGTGCTCCACCAATGTCTGGGATAAGGAGGATGTAAGCTCAAGACTTCAAGAATTACTAGACGACGCACTCCGGGATCGCTGTCCTTCGTTATCATATCAGCCATGCTGGGACATGAGGGAGTATGTCGAGCACTGAGAGATACAAGGTTCCGGGGATGGGAGGTAAGGCTAGGATGGCAATGATCGCGGCAGAGCCGACATATGTATATGTCGTTGGCTTTCGACGGGATCTCATCCCGGGACAGTCCGGGACTCAGGGCACGAGCGCACATGCCACCTGAACTGAACTAAGCCCAGAGGATATACATCTGGATCCTAGGCGCCTGACTATCGGGGTAACTCGGCTGTATAAAACCGAGGCGCACGGCGTCCTCCAAATACATGTCAGACTAGTGTGTGTCACTAGTGCCTATGCGCAGTGCGTAGAGAGCGCCCGCAGACCGAGCTGGCGTCTGCCTGAGGGCTTGGGTCGTCGTTCCTTGCGAACTTACGACGAGGAGAAAAGAGGACGTGATATTCGAGAAGACTAGCATTCACAAGTCAATAAATATGTATGGTGTTACTGGAGAAACCGGGGTGTTTCGGGAGGTCGTGCTGCACGATAGTCGTTGTGGATACGTATATCGGTAGAGTGAATTCCTTCTCCTCGGCATCTTCCAACGTACTGGAAGACATTTCAGCTGTTGCCATCGTCGACCCATGATCAGATATGCCCCAGGAATGACCTGATTCAGACCGCGTAGCCTTCCTGCCACTGTTGAGCGCAATACGCAGAACGGTGAGCGAGAACACGAGTGCCTGTGCCCCGAGGACAAAAAATAAGTAAGGTGAGCCATGCCATGACAGACCGAATCATTGGGGAGGCAGATGAGAAGGTACCTACAATGAGCGGCGGGAGAACGTTGAGACAAGTAGGGTATCCGATATATGTACTGTTGACGAAGGTGATGACGAGCGACATTGACGCGGCCGAGGTGATCGCTGTAGACTGGACAAGCGCCTCAATCACTCTCCACATCTGGATGTTTCTGGCGTGAGTCGGCTGGGAGTCACACCCGATTTCCTTGACTCGGGCCAAGATCATAACTGAAAAGGTAGATGAAGGCTTCTGCGAGACAGACAGTTCTCAAAACCCAGAGATGAACTCACTCGAGGAGATAACGTCAACCATGAGCTCGAGCGAGTAAAACCCGGCGGACATGTAGAACCCGGGTACCCCAAGGAACGTGGAGGAGATGCCGATGACTGAGTGGGGCTTCAGCGCGCTTGTCGCATTGGAATCAGCTCGGACAGAACATAGACGTACTTCCGGCAGCCACAAGCAAGACAGATGGGATGATGATCACCCGCCAGCGCCGACTATACACGCGGTATAGCCGGTAAATCTGAGGGCGACATCAGCTTGAAGTGATATTGGGAAATCGTGCTGCTGATTGTGTACCATAAAGCTGCTTCCTATCAGGGTCTCCAAGACGTATATCACGAACTTGATCGCGTCGAAGAGCGGCGGGCCCTCAGTGAATCCGCGAACAGCGCCACAAGCATCGAGGGCCATATGCTGAGCATATCCCCTCAATCAGTGCTACTCGACGCACAGTTCGGTTGCCTCATACAAAACTCACCGCGACTGCGAGCCAAAGCATAACCGTGTTGGCGACGAATAGGACCACTGTCAAAGGGCGCAGCGGATGCTTCGACTGTGCGCAGAAGAAGAGGCACCACGTTCCGATCACATACGAGATGAGAAACGCCGCGAACACGCAAACTTCCACAGAAAATGTCGCCACATAGAACTGTTTGGATGCGGGACCAGCGAAACCCTTGACACCGCGGTGGCATTATCAGGGTGAAGTCAGTTTTTCACACACGGTTTACTGTGAGACTCACTCCGAACGCATCTAAGGATCCAGTAGGTGCCATGACTAGATCAGGGGGATCGCATACGAAGGGCTCGCAGATGGAGTGCATAGACTCTGTCCTTTTAAAGGAAAAATTAGCCTAGCACTGGCGGCTTACAGCGAATACCAGCGCATGCGAGCAGAAGAGATACTTACATGTCAGAAGTACGATGGACAGACTGAACGCTACAACAGCGATGGCCTGTCCAGGGAATCATCGATGAGCATCTCAGAGCGGCCGTTTCGGAGTGAAAATTCGCATGATCCCTCTTCGCTAGAGTAAAGATGAGCCCAAATATGTAAGCAAAGAAGGCAAAGAAGAAGGAAACGTGATACTCACCTTGGCGGTTCAACAGATGCAGATTGAGGGCAGTCGCAGCAGGTACAACACTTCTCAACAAGAGGCTGTTAGACGTTCGCCCGTCGTGCATATAGTTCGGAAGCTGTCAGTATGAGATGCAAGGCATTTGTATATTAGATAGGCATTCCAAAGGGCATCTTCAGGGACCAAGTTCTCTATACTCGGGCCTCAGGGAAGGATGCGACGGAATCGAACCCTGTATCGTGGCTCTGGACAAGTTGCACGAAGAACGAAGCGCCTCGTACCAGGCACTGGCCCGGGCCGGTTGAGCCGAGGGCCGCGCGGCGCGTCCGACTTGTCATTGCCTTACAGTGGATGACTTTCCATAAGCTATCTACGGCTCTACGGACGTCCGTAAATCTCTAAACAGACCGATTTGGGCAAGGGGCAGTGTTGCCGACACCAGATCTGAACTCCGCTGATGAAATTTAGGATACGGACGTCAAAATCTAGGAGGGGGGTCCGACCCCCCTTTCTAAATCTCTAACAGGCCGTAGACAGCCCGTAGACCTCGGCATACGGTGCCGTGACCACGAGAAAGGAAGGAGCCATCATGACAAAGCGAACTGCATGCCAAATACAGACATGACATAAGCCACTCCAGTCACGTGCTGATGATGAGCAGAACATGCCGCTTGTTTAGCGCCCAAGATCCACAGACTGTTTCAAACCCCGCCTAGAAATCTACGGACGTCCGTAGAGCCGTAGATCCTTATGGAAAGTCGTCCAGTGCTTTGACAAAAAAGATTGCAGTGCGAAGCGCGTCAAATCCTGTTTGCCCCCTGTCTGGTCCCCCGTCGGACTACGGCGAGGA